CTGCGAAAGCCATCAAACGTATACGGCAACGACACTTCGCGCCGCGATACGCGGTGTGGTTTCCCGTCAGCCAACTTGACGACGACTTGGCCAGGTCCTTCACGGACCTGAATGCTGGGAGGCAGCATCGACAAACAAGATTCACGAAAGAAATTATTTGTTGCTCCTGAGTCCAGCAGTGCTCGCAGAGGTCGCCAGCGACATGTAAACTGACAATAATTAGACGTGAATCACCACTCGTAGTGGTGGCATTTAAGCGTGCGCGTAGCGCAGGAGGACTGGAAGGTTGGGCTGCCACCGGGGGACCCGGTTCTCCGCTCCAACCAGTAGGGCGCCCTGCAACTACTGCTCACGACCGTTTTTTTAACGTGTGGCCGGTACAGTACCCTCATGATGGGCATCCACTGCTTGCACCGATATTGGCGCTGGCGCACGGCACTCTGCCGCGCGATGTCCTGGCTTGCGACAAGAAAGCAAACCATTTGACGCCCGGTGCGAGCGTCACCCTTATGGGAAATGACACGTCGTCGGTCACCCGACGACTCAATCACGTCGATCTCCACAGGTTCTGGACCAGATGGACGGGGAACGCTGACGACCGAGGGTTTGGCATATGCCTTTGTGACCCTAAAGTCTTCACGGAGTGCGATGGCAAATGCCTCCTCCAATGTGGCAGGCTCGGCGCGCTCCAGCGATAAGCGGGTCTGCCCCTCACGCATACCATCCACAAAGACATTTGCCTGCGTGTACATGTCCATGGGGTGCGTGATAATTCACGACGCCAGATGCCTAGCCATCTGTACGTAGTCGCGCATCGCCATTTTACCCTGTCGCATCGACAGGAATCTTGATCGCACCAGTTTCTCCTCTTGTGGTGGCTCGAAAGCAAGACGAAGATAGTCCTGGATGGTATACAGGGTGGGGAGCGCGTGCTCGTACACAACGAGCTTACCAAGGGCCCACTCCTTGGCCTTCCCGGTGAGGCGGGAAAGAAGAAAGTTGACCTTCGCCTGGGGAGCCTCAAGAAGTCTCGAGGCGATGGCGATATCAACTTCTCGGAACCACCGGTTCAGCGACAACCGGTCCTTACCTTCTCCAAAGTAGGAGGAGGTTTCCATCTCACGGCCTCATTACGTGAAGGGCGCGAGGGAGTTAAGCCTCGCCGGTTGGATTCGGCGAGCTCGCGTGCCATAAACTCATGTATGGTGAGACGTTGCGCGTCAGGGGTCGCTGGTCTCATCAACGACGCGACGAATGCCTCTCCCGATATTGCCGCGAGGCGATTAAGGGCATCCCACACAACACCAGTAAGATGGGGGAAGGTCGAGTGCTCCAGAAATAAATCTGGAGCGTCAAAGTACGACGATTCGCTCATCCCAAACTCGGGCAAAGGAAGAACTACAAAGTGCTACCAAGTGTAGCGGGGCTAGAACGTACCGTCACTAGCTTACACGCGCGCTCGAGGAAGACTCAAGCCCAAGTATTAGGTACTAAGTAAATTTAACTCTGATTTTTATTTTGGTTTTAATTCGTACCAATTACGAAGATTTTAGTCGTAATAAATACGACAGGTCCCGCCTTTCGGGAACCGCACAATTTCAGGTTGATTTATCATTGGTCCATATTGGGGACTTTAGGCCCAATAATAAACCAATAATAAATTACCACGCTGTGCCCGCTATTCGGTCCCAGCACCTGCCTACATATGTAATTGTTAACTCATGTTAATACTATGTGTGTAATGTAGCCCATTACAAACCTCGTAGTAAAGCGACCGTTGGCTTAGAATAAGAAAGTCAAACAAAGGAGAGGTCATTACAGGGTACCGTTAAACCGGTACCGAAGAGAGTCGACCATGACCCCTTTTGAAAGCCCGGTCCTTAATTAGTGGATTCGGTTCCTCATTGGTCGACCCGGTTCCTCTTTGGTCGACCCGGTCCCTAATCGGTCGACCTGGGTCCCTCATCGGTATGCAGTCCCTCATTGGTCGACCTGGTCCTTCATCGGTAGACCTGGGCCCTCGTCGATCGACCTCGATCCCTCATCGGTAGACCCGGTCCCTCGTCGGTAGACCCGGTCCCTCATTGGCCGACCCGGTCCCTCGTCTGTAGACCCGATCCCTCATCGGTCGGCCTGGGTTCCTTGTGGTTCAGCCACTCCATACCATGTAACACAAGGATCAGACCAGTCGACGCAAGGAATAAGAGCTTCAGGCAAGGATAGAGCAAAGGAGTCAAAATGATAGGACTATATTAAATAGTACTCAATTTGCGATCTACGTGGCACGACTCCGTCACCAACGAAGAACTTGCTCTAAGCTACCACCTGTTCCGGAGAAGGGACATAATTTGGCTCCCCGTTGAAGACAGTCCGTGGTAAAGCTCAAGTGCGAATGAAGCTTCAATATATATTTGGCCTATGAGCTCGTTCGAGTAGCAGCAACTCCAAGACCCGCTATCGGAAGCGGCTTCCCTTACCTCACGGTCCGGGAGCAAAGTAAAGGTCAGGTGGTTAATACCCCTAAAACACGAAGGAAGAGGCCAGGGATAAGCTCCCTGAAGAATTTGGCTCTAAGTCCACTCTCGACAAGGTCGATCGAGTGGCCACCTACCCACCGAGTGAAGCAAATCCACTCGAGACCCCCAGGTCTACCTCCCTCAAGGCAGACGTCTACATCTTCACCAAGGCTTCCGAAGAGTGCAACACGCCAGCCGACGGGTACACAAGGTGAGTGAAGGTCCATACGCGGCATTGGAATACCCCCTCCGACAGTCGGCTGTCCGGCACAGTGAGTGGTTTGGGGTCTCATCATACAATTTGGAGAGCCCAATCCACCACATGCCCTTAATCGTCTTAATACGTCTGGTGATCGTTGTTCGAGTCACCACGACTTTTGTAATGGAAGAAGGTGTCGTTGCTATTATAGCCAATGCACTCCTTCCAACAGCACCAGGCTCATGGGGTCTGTGCCGGTTCTTGTGCAGCTTGACTTCCTGTCATTCCACCAGAAACTGCCACAGGCTCTCTACTCTGTCCAGGACCATTGGACGCATGACTACCTGCCATCTTCCCATTCACGACACCAGTCTCATCGATCTGGGTAGGAATTTGTGTCATCTGACTTTCAGTCACGACATAAAAAAGCTCTTCAGGCTCAAAAAGCTGGGTAGTATCTGGTGCCGATTGACATACCGCCATCGCACCCTCGACTGTGTTGGACACAGCATCAATCGCATAAGCCTCTCGCAGGAGCACATCCTTTCCGGTGTACTGCGTAGAATTAGCGGCTGTGCGTGTACGCCAGTCAATCCATGGTTGATGTGTAGCCAACCAAGGCATGCCTAGGATGAGGTCATACGGACTCTCCATACCTAGCACTGTGAACTACTCTTTACAAGAGAAGTCACTGAAATTGAAGGCGAGTTCAACTTGAACTCCCTCCGATTTAACGAGGGCGACGTTCGCTAAACGAACGGTCGCCTCTTCTCGCTTGCCATCCCGGCAAAGCGACTCATAACTCGCCGAACTCTTTTTCGAGCCGCGTGTTCACAAAGTTCTGTGATGCACCCGAATCAACGAAAACGGCCATCACTTGGTCAGCTAGCCTCGTACTCGAGCGCTATAGACCAAAAGGGTTGAGGTCCGACCTTTCGGTACCTCAGTGACTATGCTGCCCATTTGTTCGATCTGAACTTAAGAGTAGCTTCATAGTCCGCGACAGTAGGGCATCCCGCCCCTACTGCGCTCCCGCATATCACGGCTTATCGGGGATCGAAATTGAACCCTTGCGACGTGCACGGTTCTTCGAACCACCCATCGGGTAGGGAGCCTTTTTGATGGATGCCTTAGCACCAGCAGCAAGTTTGGCAAAGCAGCGAGCCATCGTATGGTCGCGCTTGTAGCACTTGTAGCAGACCACGTCTGCATTGCCTAACTTCATTGGAGTGGCATCCGGCTTCTCGGCTGACGGATATAATAAGCTGTTGCACAGGTAATGCTGTAGGATTGTTCCTCACTAAGGCAAAGTCAATTGCCTCCTCCGTAGTCTTGGAACCTTTACAAAAAGGCCTGACGCGATGGGCCGTGTCTTAATCCATTCATGAACGTGGGCACCTTAATGTGTTCCGGTATCGGTCGCCGACAGCGAACGTATATCCTGCACATACTCTTGCAGCGATCGTTTTGCCTGTCGTGCTCCAAAGAAGCGCGTTTGAAGTAACACTTCATTGTTAGGCGGCTGGTACATGGCACAAACATTTGACTAAAGGATCGCCCATGATGGAAAAGCATCTGCGTTTGTCATAAGTGCAGAGTAAGTACACTGACGCTATGACCGCAAATTTGACATGGCATACGACACCATCCTAGTATCGTTTTCGATGAGGTGCACCATACCGCATTGCTTCACTGCTAAAAGCCAGTGGACAATCGTATGTGGGGCAGTCCCATCAAACTTCGGGAGGTTCATTTGAATGGGCCTTGGTTGATTAGACCGGGCAGAGAGCGTCTCAACAGTTCTGTTAAGCACCTTATTCCGTGCCTGCTCAAGCCTAAGCTCATCCTGAGTCTTACTGTTGGACTCAACCGTAGCTTGGCTGTTTGCCTCGGACGCATTTCTGCGCTATCCGAGCACAAAAGCCTCGAATTGCTTCAACCGAGCAACATGTTGCTCAGGAGGACAATGTAAGAGGTTGGTTAGGGCTTGTTCACCAAGTCCCCGAGCCAATTGCTCTGCCAGCTTTGTTTAACAGGCTCTATCGTATATAAGACTATAGTATACCCTGTCTAAATTGATAACCTCAGGACCAAAAGGTTTATGAGCTAGTGGCGGCTATCAGATAAGTAAGTCAGTTTAACACCAACTATATCAACATCAAGCGTCTAGCAGCTTGGACAGGTTTATAGGTAAGACAGTATCATTTGAGATAAGCACATTACGTCACAGAAACGGTACCGTTTTGCGGCCACCAAACGACCAGAAATAATATACATACAAGCCAATGGCGACTCCACCATTACAGACGGTGGCGAAACACCAGCGCCACATGAATGATCTTCCAGGAGCCACAGGCAGGACGAAAAAGCTTCTAGCAGGCGCACTGTCAGGAATGATCTCAGCTCTTGCCTTCCAGCCGCTGGACGTGCTGCGCACCCTCCAGCAGGGCGCGTTCACAGTGCATGCTAAACCTACCATGGCGTCTACAGTCTTTTCTCGCTTCTCGCAGACAGATACAAGAAAGAGTTCGCGTCCAGCCAACGACCCTGTACAAAGATTACGCTCCATGTGGCGTGGTACGTCACCCACGCTCGTGCGCGTTGCTGGCGGTGCCGGTCTTTACTTTGCCACGCTGGACTATTGTTTGAACGTGTTCCCGAGCTCTGCAGTCAACACGTTTTTAGCTGGAGCCTTATCACGAACATTTGCAGGAGGAATTGTATCACCTTTTACGATCGTGAAGGCGCGGATGGAATTTCTACCTCCTGGCACGTTCGACAGTAATTTACAGGTGGTGCGGTACGTGCTACGCCACGAAGGCGTGCGTGGACTGTATCGCGGCATGGTGCCGACGCTTATCAGAGACGTGCCTTTCTCTGGACTCTATGTGCTCATTTACACGCGTCTGCGCGAGTCGTGGACTCGCAAATTTCCGCACCTGCCATTGTACGGTGTACACTTTAGTAGTGGCGTGGTCGCGGGCGTGCTTGCCACGTCCATCGTGCATCCGGCCGATGTCGTAAAAACACGCATGCAGCTCGCAATCATGGCAAATAATAGTGAAGGAGTCACCGCGCACATTCAAAACTCGCTCACGTTGCGTCAAACGGTGGTCAAGATCTACTGCGACGAAGGCCTGCACGGGTTTGCGAAGGGCATCGTTCCGCGCGTCGTCAAGCGAACACTCTCTACTGCAGTCACATGGACGATCTACGAGCAATTATCTTTGAAGTAGCTTGGTCGGTGTGGCTTTTAGACTTTGGTATCGTGGCAGTGAGATCTTAATTGGAATTGGTAACATGAACCATTAGATGTTAATAAGTGGGAACCACCGGCACTGCAAAAAAACAACGGCGGGCGCAATACAAATGGAGCCTAAGCCGACGACTGAGTAACTACCGCGTGATAATTGGCGTGAACGCAGCAAAGGGCTCGCCTGCACTACCACCACCACGTGGCCGACTGCCGTTGAGATCGCTGCTGGGTGAGCCTGGTCGGGAGTGGGTGGAGCTCCCGTTTAGATCGCTGCTGGGTGAGCCTGGTCGGGAGTGGGTGGAGCTCCCGTTTAGATCGCTATTGTCATTACCAAGGTGATGTCCGTCACCATTGAGCCTTGGCAATGAACTGCCATTGACCTTCAGTCTATGGCTACCATTGAGCCCCTTCAACCCATTGGTGTGGCTGTGGCTGTCAGGAAGAGTTGAGGCTGGTGCTGCTACATACTGGTACTCTTGCATGGGGCGATTATCCTCTGGTTCCATATCCGAAAAGGAATTGCGTATCGGTTCACGATAGAGATGCTCTTGCACGCGAGTACTCTTTTGCACGCGCCGCCTTTGAGCAAGCTCCATCTCAGCTTCGAGGTCCACGGCTGCGACACCCTCAGACATACCTTCCCAACCGACCTCACGCAACGAAGCGGAATCCAAGTCGAACTTCAGAGGGATCGATCCCAGTGTGCCGTCAAAGCGATTTTTGCGAATGTCTAACTTGGATTTGCCATTGGTGCGTTGCAAAATAAGAACATTATCAGCTTCCTGAGTGGCTTTAGCCGTGCCAAACACAGACGATAGCGTAAGATCGTGACCCTCCTGCTCTTTGCGCGGATGAATTACAAGCGTAAGATGGACGTTCTTGGCCGAAGCAAACTTTCGGAATTTGTCCAGTGCCGCGTCCTGACGCTCAAATTTGTCAAAGCCGCGACCTTGACCCGCCATCATGAACTGCACGTTATCCAACAAGATATGTTGCACATCATAAGCGTACACAGCGTACTCCATAGCGTCCAAAACTTCGTCCACATCAGTACTACCAAAGAATCGTAAGAAGTGCATGGGGAGAGCTTCAAACTGATCAGCTGCAGCTTCGAACGCATTCACGTCGCCAGACAAGTTGCGCTGCGCAAGCTGCCTAAGCATCTTGTGCATCAAACGTGTATTCTTGATCTCGAACGAGCCCCAAAGTGTACTCACACCCTGACCGCACAAGTCCAGCGATAGTTGACTCAATAGTGTAGTTTTGCCGCACCCTGTCGGGCCTGTCAGCACTGTCACTTCGCCCATACGGTGTCCTTTCATCAATCTATTTAGTGAAGGAAATGCCCGTGATTGCACGCCACAGGCTTTGAGAGGATTCACAATTTCCTCATATACATCACGACGAAGCTCCTCGAACGTGGTGATCTGACTGTGCGGGATGCATTCGGCGGCATTTACGATTGCTGTAAGGTCTAGACCAGCCCGAAGAGCATCATTTGCATCTTTGACTGGAGATGACGATGCCTTCGCAGGAATACGGACAATGTAGCAGCGACTCAAGCCAAGCTTTGCAGCAAACTTCTCAACATTCGACTGCCCAGAGGCATCATTATCCATCCAGAGATAAATACGCTTGAAACTTTCTAATAAAGGTAGAACGCTGGGTGGCAGCGACTGGCAGCCATTCGGTAGCGACACTGCAGCCATGCCTGTCGCCTGATGCACAGCCATGGCATCAAACTCACCTTCAGTAAGCACTAGCTCATCCGCAGCTGTAGGTACCGTGTTCCAACCGAAGAGGCCCCAACTGCCACCTTTCGGTACAAGCTGCTGCTTCACCTTGTCGTCCACAGCACGCAGTTTAAGCCGTACAACGTCATAAAGATTTTTATCCTCCGTTGCGTGCCTCTTCTCTTCCTGATACACAACACCCATTGCATTCATATCCATCTGCCGCGCCATCCACGGGAAGGAGATACACTTGGCATTAACGCGTTTATTTAAATCATGGTCCCAAAACGGCTGCTCGATGGCCCCCACACAATATTTTTGCAGTACTTCCTTCGTAAGACATCGAACGTCCGTCAAGTATTGAAGCACCGGCTCAAACTCGGGGTCGTCCAACAGGTTTTTCTGGATAGCCATCGCCTTCTCATTGTCCAGAGCCTGAATGACCTTCACCTCCTCGATAGATCGCGCTCCAGCATTGTTACCACTATACAACGCATTAGCTGATGAGGCGACATCCATGCCGCCTTGTATTTTGCGTTTAAAGTCAAACCAACTGCCAGCAGAGCCACAGCGATGACACTTGTACATGCCCTGGGTCTTGTGGACGTACATTTTAAAAAGGTTGTCAGCCTTCCCGTATGTGGCGTGACAGAACGGACAGTCACGCACTATAAAGTGTGAGTCTGTCTCGCGTAGAGCCAAGCTCTTTCGACGTAGGAAATCGGCCACATCTCTTGGGTCCTGCATCTGGTAGTGACGTGACACAAAGGCTTCTATAGCTAGTCCTCGTCTGCTATTGATAGACGCCATAAACGTAGGAGTAAAAGATCTTGGAACATTCAAGCGCCGTACGAAGCGACCTGTAGTCGCAAGGCGAGAGAAAGCACGCATTATGACAGGAGCTGCTCACTGCCTTGGCAATTGTGAAGAGGTCACTTTTTGGTAGCAAGTAGTACTATTGTTTCAGAAGGGTTATTAATTATGCCGATCTTTAAAGTACCAACGTACTGGATGTGCATACACTAAATCGAATTATTTTTAAGTAGATATTAGGTATTACTGATAAATAGAATCTCGAAATGATTGGTTCTGGTGGACACTCAGTTGCATCAGTTACTGGTTGTAGCAGCATGAGTGGTGTGTCCGTTGTACCGTACTCGTTGGCCCGAGAAACTGGGTCTGACTCGAAGCCTTCGAAAAAGCGCAAGAAACGCTCGAGCTCAGCAGATGTAAGCTCTTCTATGGCTGATGCTGGGTGGGCCAAGGTAGACATTGAGGATGTACAGCTCGACGGATTCCAGGATGGCTGCGCTTTTGAATTGGAGGAGCTTACGAGCTACCGCGTGGAGGCGACCGAGGATGGTGGGAAGATGCTGATTGAAGACAGTACGATCCAGCAGGAGCAAAGAGGTGGAAAGAAGAAGCGCAGGAAGCTGAAGACTACAAAAAAGCAGTTGGAGACGAAAAAGAAGGTTGACGTTCATACTGAGACGAAGAAGGCGGCCATCAATCAGGAAGCAAGGAAAGTACAAGAGAATAAGCAAGAAGAAGGAGAGAGAGCTTTGAAGAAGGGAAAGAAAAAGAAGAAACGAGGGGGCAAAGCGAACAAGAAGGAAAAACTAGTGGAGACGGTGGCGTTGAAAGACGTCAACTTGCCCAAGTGGAAAAAGTTTAAGCTGCATCCGCTGTTACTGCAATCGCTGCAGACTTGCGAATATATAGCTCCTACGCGTATTCAGGAGCGTACGTTGCTACCGGCGCTGGTTGACAACCGTGATGTGGTGGGTGCGGCACCTACTGGTTCCGGTAAGACGCTGGCTTTTGGACTTCCAATTTTGAGCCAGTTGCTGCATGAGCGTGAGCAACCAGGATATACGAAGGATTGCAAGGCGCTGATTCTGACGCCGACGCGCGAACTTGCCATTCAGATCCAACAGCATCTAGAAAAAATGGTGCGTCATCGCGAAATTGGAGTGGTCACGTTGGTAGGTGGTATGGCGATGCAGAAGCAAAAGAGAATCCTCAGCTACAGGCCTGAGATTGTAATCGGCACGCCAGGTCGTCTGTGGGATATCATCCAGACCAGCCATGAACATATGAAAGATATGGCATCGACACTACGTTTTCTAGTCGTAGATGAGGCAGACCGTATGCTACAGCCTGGATCATACCCGGAGCTTGAAAACATCTTCGATGCGCTGCGTCGCAAAAGTAATGCTGCGTCTTCAAAACTCTTGAATCTATCGGACAGTGAGAAGGAGGATGATGAGGATAGTGACAATGAAGATGAAATGGAATTCAACGATGAAGAAGACGATGCAGGGGATATCGATATGGCTAAATTTGCGAGCGGCCAAAGTGTTATGATGCTTGACGATGTGCTCAAGATGCAGCGTAAGCAGCAAGATAAAGACAAGAAAAATGCTGCTACCGAGGAAAACAGGGAGTCTAGTAAAGCCAAGGGTCAGCCTCAGGCTGAAGTGGCTTCTACACTACGCCACGTACGTCAGACGTTCCTGTTTTCAGCTACGCTAACGATCCCTGAGGGGGGCCGCTTTCAGAAGAGTAATACCAAAAAGCACCACAATGCATTGAGCGTTCTGGAGCGAGTCATGAAGCGAGTTGGTCTCCGTGGGAAGCCAGCAGTCGTCGATCTCGGCATTGCGGAAGTTGACTTGGGCATCCCTGGCGCAAAGCCGATTGTGTCCGAAGAAGTCGAACGGAAGCTGAAAAAGAAGCAGGAGAATGTGGCATTGTCGTTGCCTGCAGGTCTGGAGCTTTGCCAGCACGAAGTGACAGAGTCAACGCGAGACAACTTCTTGTACTACTTCCTCACACAGTACCCAGGTCGCACCATTATTTTCTTGAATGCTATTCACCAGGTACGGAAACTTACTAGCCTGTTGAGCCTGTTGGATCTCCCAGTGTTTGCCTTACACGCTGAAATGCAACAACGCCAGCGATTGAAAAAGCTGGATGGCTTTCGTGCGCACCCAAAGGGTATTTTAGTGGCGACTGACGTTGCTGCTCGTGGGCTGGATATCCCTAGCGTGGAGTATGTCGTGCATTATCATATTGCATGTTCTACGGAGATTTTTGTCCACCGCAGTGGTCGTACTGCCCGTGCTAACAAGGAAGGTCTCAGTATTGCTCTGGTATCGCCCACTGACGCCAAAAACCACGCACAAATCTGCAAAATGTTGCAGCGACCGACTGGGCTGTCAGATTTCCCATTCGACCATCGGTATATGGAAGCAATTGACGAGCGCATGCGTCTTGTCAGGAGCATTAACGAGCAGGAGAATGCTGCGGGCAAACTAAAGTCGGAAGTGACGTGGTTTGAACAGATGGCTGCGGCCGCCGACTTGGATCTGGATGACGATTTGTTGTTTGAATTGGGTGCAAAGCAGCGGAACGAAGAAGGCAAGAAGAAGATCACACAAAACCAGTCGATACAATCGCTCCGTGTTCAGCTCAAGCGGTTGCTCGCAAGGCCGCTGCGTCCCGTGGGTTCTGCTCGTAAATTTCGTCAGCTACATAAGGAGCTTGGTTCTCAGCTCACTGGTGACGGCGAATACCGAGCTCGTGATGCAAGCGAGGACCTCGCAGTAAAGGGCAAGAAGGCGTTTAAGCGCTTCCGCCAAAGAAAATAGAACTTGTTGACTCATGCACATGGCTACATGCATAATGTAGCCATTTAAGTAATAGTTTACATATACTACTAAGTACGAGTGTTTTTATCATCTACAAAGTATACAGTACTGAAGTGTAAGTGAAGACAGCATATGGAGAACCGCGTAGCGACTCGAGTTGGCGGTGTGTCAAACCTCCCACGAGTCGGAGGTGTGGCTGATGACAACGATGAAGATAACGAGAAGGTCTACTATGGTTTTGGTGTGTTTATGGGACTACCATTGGCCGATTTGAAGGCTATGAAGGACGACTTTGTGGAGCAGCAGGCGCTAACTGGTGGTCCCCCGCTGCGACGTGCGTTACAGCCATCGACCATTCTGGACAACCGTACGCATTGCGTGGAGAGTGATGAGAATGGCCATGACCATCAGGGAGACGTGCACATGGCACCACCTCATGCGCTGCAGCAGCAGCAGCAGCACCATTTGAAGGGCTACGAGCGTCAGCATGACGAGGGTCAACAGAGAGACTACATGGGCGAAGGAAGATCTAGATTTGCCCATGAGCCACCTAGTGATGAACAGGGTGGTGAGGATGACGATGCTGATGCCAATAGCGACGGCTCGGACGATTTTGGCAACAAGTCGCACTCGCTTAACTTTATTCTGCACTAAGAAGCGAGTGACGAAGGCTTAGCAGAGGATGGAGAGAGAAGTGAAATAGGTGGAAGAGATTCATGTACAATAGAGAGAGGAACGTGTTCTTACTCTTGTGTTTGGCAGTAACGTACGTACGTCAGCAGAGGTCGTCGTTTATCTGTACGAATTGTATGCTGGAAGATTTACAAACTCACAATCCGTGATCGATGGCGTGGAGATCGCTAATGACGCGTGTAAAATGCTCGATTCTCGACGCTTATGTGCCTTTTCGTGTCATGTTAGACATGGAAAAGGAGAGCAAGAATTAGGGACGCGCTCTGGGTACCAAGGGTCCATGCACCTCCGTCGTGGCAGGGTTCGTACTGAAGCAGCAGACAGAGGTGAACAGCAAAAGACCTTGCACTACAAGGTCATAACGAGGTCATTCACGTGTGTGTTACGTTTGATTCCTGCAGCGACTAAGCAAGTTCAGCAATTTGTTGGACGTGACCGATAAAGCGATCGTTATGACGCCGCGGTTCCGCACAGTCGACGAACGGTCTCGAGCGTTTTAGAAGATGGAGGCTGAGCTCAAAGAAGAAAGAACTTTTCCCTTCTTGCAGAACGAGCTTTACATGGCCAAAACCACCTTCATTCTACAGCCCGACACTCTTCATCTACCACCGCGGCGTTGGAGCGTTCTTTGGTCTCAGTCAGTTTGCCACGCACTTGAATAGATTCGTGCGCGACAAGGAGACTGGTATTGTGACGCATGTTGGGATAGCGACACGTAGTGCCTCCACGAATCGCTGGCCAGTGATGCTCGATACTATTGTGGGTAGAGGGCTGCCTACAGGTGTCGCTGTATTGAGACAACATGATGAAAGAGGCGGAGGAAGAGCACCGAGAGTCCCTGTTTCGATACAAAACTTCATTAAAGTATGACCTTATTGTAGTGGTAGTTTTAATGCAATTTACTATTGGACGAGAGTTTTATTACGATGGTGTGGTACACACCATGTCCAGTGCAGCAAGCGTCAGTCGTTTCTAACCAATCGACTCGATGGCAGCGGCGATGACAATCGCGCTCAAGAACGCAGCACCAGAGACAAGTACGCGTTTGTATGTGCAGAATCTTCCTGCCTACGTAGACTCTGCACGACTGCGAGCACACTTTGCGGCACAGGGTGAAGTGACGGACGCTTGCGTGATCCGCACCAAGGACGGCAGCAAATCTCGACGCTTTGGTTTTGTGGGCTTTAAGAGCGACAAGCAGGCGGATCAGGCGCGAAAGTTTTTTCATCAGAGTTTCTTTGATACGTGCAAGATTAATGTGCGCGTGGCATTGTCGGTACGAGCGACAAAGTGAAGCTAGTGTAGTGTTAATGGATTGCCGCGTTGTATTGATACAGTGTGTCTTTCTGTGTGTATATGGTGAATAGAAAGAGTCTGATGAGATGGATCGGCCATGGAGCAAATATTCGGCAGGGAGTGAACGCTACCAGAAGTTGCATCCGGAGTCAGGCGTCGTAGCGACCTCTTCTACAGAAGCAAAGACTTTTTCGGAGAAGAAGATTGGGAAGGACGTGGAAGCGAGTGGAGATTTCAAGGAGTTCATGGAGACGATGCAAGCTCGATCAAAGACTAAATTTTGGGCTAATGATGATGTTCAAGGGCCGGCGGACGAAAACGCATGCTCCACAGGTGCGGATATTGCTGAGGCGGAGGACAGCGATGATGAATACCAAGATCTTGAAACAGTCAAGTCTGATGATGGTGATGAGGATGAGAATAATGCCAAGAGTGAGAAGCAGAACAAAATGTCGGAAGCGATGTCAGACATGGACTTCTTGCGGTCCAAGGTAAGCAAGAGTATCGAAAAGGATGGCGACGATAAAGACAGCAACGAGTTAGTGGATGATGGTGAAGATGGAAAATATAACGATGAGTCTGCGAAGGGTAAAAAGAACGCTGCGTCTGGTGAAGCGGAGGTCGGTGTTGAAGACGACAAACCCACTGCACGTTTGTTCGTACGGAATCTACCATTTACCGCTGTAGAGGAGGATCTTGAGACTTTGTGTTCAACGTATGGACCGGTGAACGAAGTGCACATGCCGCTGGATGAAACTCGTCGACGTAAGGGCTACGGTTTTGTCCTTTTCCACACTACGGTAGACGCCCAAACAGCTTGCACAGCCTTAAATGGTATGGCGTTCCAGGGTCGACGCCTGCACGCGATGTATGCACGCTCAAAGCCTGTCAAGCTTGACCCGGAAGCAGCTCTCGCAGACACCAACTTGACGTACAAGCAACGTAAGGAGTTGGAGCGCCAGATTCAAGCTCAAAAGAAGACAGGCTGGAACGCTTCTTACATTCGCGGAGACGCAACTGTGGGCTCGCTTGCTGAGCGCATGGGTGTGAAGCGCGGTGATATCATGGACAAAGAACAGGGAAACATGGCTGTGCGTTTAGCTATTGGTGAAACCATGCTAGTGAAGGAAAACAAAGACTTTTTTGCGCGAGAAGGCCTGGACTTGAATGTCATTGAAAGCGCACTTGTGAAGAAGCCGAGCCAGCAGCCGTCGAAGAAAATCGAGCGAAGCACCTCCGTTATTCTGATAAAAAACTTGCCACATACTACTGAGGAGGAAGAGTTGGCACAGCTATTCCGAAAGTACGGTGAGGTCGGTCGCTTCCTATTACCACCATCGAAAACGCTAGCAGTAGTCGAGTTTTTGGAGCCTTCAGAAGCGCGCAAGGCCTTCCGTTCACTAGCCTACAAGAAGTACCAGCATGTGCCGCTCTATCTGGAGTGGGCTCCTATCAAAGTGTTCGACCAATCTGCTTTTGCTTCTTCCAGCGTCAAACCATCTGCGTCCGACCAGAAGGGTATCAAAACGACATTATCCGTCGTGCCTGATGTTGACGATGATGGTGACACCGCTGTGGATGATGCATGCCATACTATTTGTGTGAAGAATTTGAATTTCTCTACAAAGGAGGCCGATTTAGAAAAGATTTTTGCGCGCTGTGGTAAGCTGCGCAAGGTCACTGTCGCCCGCCGAAAAGACCCAAAGCGCGGTATGCTGTCAATGGGTTTTGGCTTTGTAGAGTACGTAGATGCCAAGCACACTGAGAGTGCACTGCAAACGCTTCAGAGCATTGTTGTTGATGGTCATGCGCTGAACCTGAAGCTTTCTCAGAAGAAGGCATCAGCAGCTCCAAAGCGTGCGGCTGGCGAGGGCGACGGCTGCAAATCGAAAATAATTGTTCGCAACGTTGCATTCGAGGCAACGAGCAACGAAATTCGCGAGCTGTTTGGTGCGTTTGGCCAGCTTAAACGTGTACGCATGCCAAAGAAGTTTGACGGCAGACACCGTGGTTTTGCTTTCGTGGAGTTCCTGACAGAGCAAGAAGCCCGGAATGCTTTCTCGGCTCTTGCCAGTTCGCATCTGTACGGCCGACATCTTGTTCTTGAGTGGGCGGAGGATGCAGACGACATTGATACATTGCGAGCCAAGGCCACACGTGATCTGACTACTATCAATGACAGCGATCGTCGCAAGCGCATGAAGCGACAGAAAGAGGATGACGAAGACGACATGGATTTCTAAAATAGACTAAACGCATGACTCCTTGCATGCATAGATTCAAGGGTTTCTTGTAGATTTTCTCGCTTCTAAAACAGCATATGTAGCAAACCACTAGAAAAGGTTATAGACGACTACTTCGCGGGCGAGCAACGCTTGCTTCCTGATGGATCAGCTCCAGCTTCTTGTGCGTGTACTTGAGTGGGTGTTCATTCTTTTCGCCAGAGAATTGAGAGACAGTGTGACCGCTTTCCGACACAAGCTTCCACTTCGTCGTAAGCAAACCTTCTACACCGACGGGACCGCGAGCGTGGATACGACCCGTGCTGATACCAACCTCGGCACCCAGACCAAAACGGTAACCATCAGCAAAGCGAGTGCTGGCGTTGTAGAAAACGCATGCACTGTCGATCATCTGCTGAAACCGCTCTGCAGCAGCAGCGTCTTCCGTCACAATGCACTCGGTGTGGCCACTGCTGTACAAGTTGATGTGGGAAATCGCAGCATCAATGCCGTTCACCACCTCAATAGTAATATCCTTCGTGCCGTACTCGGTAGAAAGCGAGGTAGTTGAGCGCGACTTGACCGTAACAACGCCCAGCTTAGCAGCGTTGGGTGCAATATGCAGATTGATACCCGCTTCCTCCAGCTTTGCCAAAATCTCTGTGACCTGTCCACTAGTCACCAGCGATTCATCAATCAGCAGCGTCTCGAGGGCGTTACAGGCAGCAGGGTAGTCGGTCTTGGCATCGACAGCGAGATCAATCGCTTTCCTCATATCAGCCGCACTATGTATGTACATGTGGCATACACCCTCGGCGTGACCAAGGACAGGAATGCGCGTGTTTTTCTTGATGTAACTCACCATGGAGCCTGAGCCACGTGGGATGCACAGGTCAATAACATCGTCTAGATGAAGCAGGTCAGAAATCTCTTCGCGAGATGTGACCAGACCAATGACATCCTTCTTCACCTTGCCGTTGGTGGCCTCCTCGACGGCGTTAACAATGATCGAATGCAGCGCAGCATTGCTGTGTACGGCTTCCTTGCCGCCCTTCAGCAATAGACCATTTCCACTGCGCAGTGCAAGCGCCGCGATCTGCGGCAGCGAGTCAGGACGGCTCTCGAAAATGACGAGGAGCACTCCAATCGAGGCCGTCTCCTGATGCAGGACCAGTCCAGATGCCAGCTCCGTGCGTTTGAGCATGCGACCGATCGGTTCCTCGGATTCTGCGATGCTTCGAATCCCATCAGCCAACGTCTTTAGCTTCTCCTCTGACAACTTCAAACGCGCCAATAGACCCTCATCAATTGACGCCTTCTGCGCGGCTATAAGATCCTTCCGATTCGCATGCAAGATCGCACTCCGATTGCTCCAAAGTTCTTCAGCAATGCGAAACAAAATATCGGCACGCTCTTTCGAAGACAGCGCCTGCAACTGGTGGCAGCCTGCACGTGCAGCGTTGGCCATCTCCTCGGCAGACATCGAGTCGGGTGACTCGAATCCTGGGTTCGCCACAAAGAGCGTACCAAGACTTGAGCCTTTCATGATAGATCCGACTACGCCGTACTTAAAGCCACTAGCAATGACCACTGCATTCACACCCTGCGAAATAGCAGACTGGGCCGCTTCAATCTTGGCGCCCATCCCGCCACGACCGACGCTCGACTTCTCACCGATCATAAAGTTACTGTCCTCGGGACGAAAGACTGAAATGATCTTGGCACCAGGCTGGGAGGGAGGTTTATTGTACAGGCCTTCCACGTCTGTAAGCAGCATGAGTAGATCCGCTTCAATCTCGCCACCCACCAAAGCAGCAAGCGAGTCGTTGTCCGTAAAAACGGTACCATCCGGTGAGGCGCTAACTGCGTCGTTTTCGTTCACGATAGGAACGACGTCGAGCTCGAGCAAATTGAGCATCGTGTCGCGCATGTTGGCGCGATTCTGGGCCGTCTTAAAGTCTGATGCCGTAACAAGCACCTGCGAGCAAGCCACATCGTAGAGTGAGAAGAGCGTCTCATAGAGCGACATGAGGCCGATCTGGCCAGCAGCCGCCATGGCGCCCTTCTTCTTTTCAAGTGCCAGCATCTGTTGGTTGCCCTGTACGTGAGTGCGGAGCGAGGCCGAGAGCAGGATCTGCTTGTTCAGACGCTTGCGACCAATGCCCACAGCACCGCTAGTCACCAGGAGCACCTCCTTGCCCTGACGCTTGAGCATGCAGACCTGCTCTACAATAGACGCGATGCGGCCAAGTGCGGGCTCACCGCTTGTAGAGACCACGCTAGTCCCCATTTTGACCACAATGCGGGAGGCGTGTTTAAGATCCTGACGCGTGAGTGGACGCTCGCCCGCGTTGCCACCAAACGTGTGTGAATGGGTCATTGTTTCTTTTCTCATAATAGCAAGAGTGTAGATGATGTAATGACTGGATGCGGTCGATCGTTCGATATGCGCAATAGACGGCAAATTAGAAAATGAGAAGAGGATATCATTATTTGGCTCGCTGTCAGCATAATCAGAAAACAGATGACGGAATCAGAGCTTTTTTTCTAAAGGACGCCTTTGAGACGGGTAGTCAGTCACGTGGTAAAGTGCGACATGTTGATTGTGGATTTGAATACCACAAGTATTGATAGTGACTACAAATAATCAGATTAATGTTGATATCAGAATTTATCCCCCGTCTATCTCGATTGATTCACTTCGAATACGGTCAAATCCCGATTGCTACCTCATTTTTTTGGTGGACGCTGCCCACGTACGGTCGTCTGTGATCGTCTCATAAACGTTGCATCAGCAATTAAATGCCGTCCACAGACCCTTACAATAATGTATTATCTTGATGAGTTAGTCAGTTACCTTACATTACGAAAAGGTTGACGGTCATTAATCTTACAAGTAGAGTCTCCAGTTATGTGTCATAACGCTGCTTAAGTTCGCATTACATTTCTTTAATGAGACATAGAAATGGTCTCATTAGAAAAGGTACCATTTCAAATCGGAGACGGTCTATCTTACAGAGCAACAGGTGTCAATCTGTTAGGCACTGCGATGCTCTACAATTATGTACATGGCAGTCTGACATCTGAAAATGTAATTGCGCTGCAGCGCGTTGGAAAAAACTCATTAGTCACTGGATCAAGTAGAAAGTCTTCCATCAATTGATCCAAAACTTTCTGCGGGCTTGTGCCAGTCGACGAGTTGGCAGCATACCCGAGTACCCTACGAACATTTTAGTGAATTGATTTCAGGATGACGTTAATGAAGCCGAACGCGTCTGGGCACAAATTTGGCAGTCCTCGCGACGATATGCTAATCAGGAATTTGGATAGACAGGAATGCAGCCGTCTTCGAGGCTGTCACACTCCACAATTCCCAGCAGCATCGCCAGTTTTTGGGCTTCGTGCCTTTGTCAGCTCCGAGCTTTTGCAAAGAGAGAGCATCGAAACATTGCGTCAGATACATATGGTGCCTTGCTTTATGCTTGTATGGAAGTGCTTGAACGCGACCCTAGAGGACCACCGAGTTCTACGGTGGCCAGCCACGATATACCGTCGGACCATCCTGCGCTGACATCCTGGCTAAGGACTTTCCAGAGATCTTGCACATAGTTAACACTGTGTAAACATACCTCTTTTCTCAACGGCGGAATCTTCAGAAAGACCCTGCAGCCATTTTTGTCGTGACCACTAGTTGGTTTACCATTTCTTAGTGGCGACTGTCATTCCACTGCTCATTTGAGATTACTGTAAATTGGGCACTTTGATCGACGATCGTCCTCGCGTTGTCGCGTATAATTTATGGTGTAATGTCATTCCATTGCAACGTGCTACGTAAACCATCCGAGCGAGCTATATGAGCGGTACGCACCAAGTCATGCAATCTTAACCTTGTGGATTAAACATGACACGTTACGCTGTCGCGGTCGTAGACGGACAGCTGATGATCACGTGATTTGGAAACGCTTGGCTTGGATATGCAACAGCAGCCAAGTGGTTTTGCACCACACTGAAATTCTGCGCTTTGCATGCGGCAGCGGCATTCGTGTGGACGCGAAAGCAGCCATTGCAATTGAAGTGGTCTGCTACCCAGTTCTACCGAATGCTAGTTGTAAAGCAATCCTATACTAATGAATCTGCATTTACCATTGGCACGGGATAAGCGGCGAAAAGGCAGTGACGTTGCAAGTGAGGATACATTAGCAAGATCATCCGTTTGATTATCTTGTCGTTTGTTACGGCATGCCACTGGCAAGCGCTTAAATAGTTCACCTTTCCTACTCCATTGTCTGCGATTACCACTTACGAAGCCAGGGGTGCTGCAGCACCTCCTCCATGCTTAGGCGTTGCTTTGCGTCCTGATGCATCATTTGCTTCACCAGCTCCCGGGCCTCCTTCCCTATTCGGCGCCACTCATGCTCGTCAAAACATATCTCGCCAGACAAAGTTCGCTCAATCATTTCATCTTCTGACGGTGCGCTAAACGGGGAGTACCCACACAGAATCGTATACAGTACAGCACCAGCACTGAACACGTCGGCAGCAGTAGAAATCTCGCTGTTCTGAAGCACCTCCGGTGCGGCATAACCCACCGTACAACTAATAGCTTTCTTAGACGCGTTCTTCTCCAAAAGCATGGCCGAGCCAAAGTCGCCTAGCTTGACAGTTTCCAATTGCATACCTGACACCTTGAAAAATATATTCTCAGGCTTTATGTCAAGGTGCACAACCCCATGCTCATGGCAGTGGTTGACAGCGCCAGCAATGTGGCGGAACAGTGTCCTGGCATCGTGCTCATTTAAACTGCCGTTCTGGCTGACGAAATTAAAAAGATCGCCGCCAATGCAGTTCTCCATTACCAAATAAGCTTTTTCCTTTTGATGGAACGAGTCGTAGAGTGCAACAATGTTCGGGTGATTCGAGTAATCAGTCAACATTCGCTGAATTTCAATCTCGTTGCGAGCCGAGTAACTCTGTTTGGTAGATATAGTTTCCATGGATTTCATCACGTAAGATGGACGGCCACGATCCATCCATGTCGAGCACTCCACAATCGATGAGTTTTCTGTCTCCATGATCACATTCCCGAGTGTAAACTTGGCGATCCAGCCAAGCAGATCAATGGAATCCTGCACTAGCTTGGCCCACATATCCCTCTCGTTTTTTGTCTCAAACTTAAGAATCCACTTATCGAGCGCTACATTGTCATTTGTGTCTTTAGATGCCGCTGAGCTATACGTGGGTGCGGATCTCTCATTGTCCGCCGGCATGCGAAAGTTTATGGACAACTTGTTCTTGGGCAGGCGGTCCACACGCGTCCATACACTGATCATCTGACGCTGCCGCACCTCACCTTTCTCAGTGCGCACGTACTCCATGTATGGTACGGTACCAATCTGAAGACGCACAATGCGTGGCACGAAAATTTTCATCCAATCAGGCAACGGTAACTGCTTCAGCACCCGCACCTTGTGGAGCTCAAACAGCTTCTTCTGAATTTGCTTCTGCGACGGTGATCCATTCGTCGCGTCCAGGTCCTCCTCGGAACTTGTTAGACGCTGACCCGAGCGATCGACGCCGCCGTACAGACTACTAAGCCGCGAGGTAGTAAGCATCTCCGAGTCCAGTACTGTTGTTGGCTCCATGCTACTGCCTCCACTGCTGACGCCCGAGCAGTACGTCGATGTCGTGAGGAAAGAGGGTCGCCAGTCTTTCTGAACGCGCGCGTTCGTGTCTAAGAGTCCCAGGGCCATTATGAGGATGTTGTGTCCACAACGTCGGAGCAACTTTATCTGAGCTTGTGTTTGCCAACGACAATTACTTTATGAAGGGTAAATGCCGGTGTGGAGGAAGCATTTCCATCGACAATATCGTCCCGCTTACATTTCTCAAGTGTAAAGTAGGGCTGTGGTTCTAGTTGGCAGGCAACTGTGGTTGCGATTACGCGAGCGTACAGGGGTGGGGTGACGATGCAAAATGGATGTCGTAATCGCCTACCCGCGGTTCAAGCGATAAGGGTAATTTTGCATGTGGGTGGCAGGCAGCGACAAGGCGATATATTAAAAGTTACACGGGATGCTTATAGATAAAGTCAAATTAGCAATCACCCGAAACCTTACAGCAATAAGATGTTGCGCATGCACCACAATCTGTCGTCTGGCGTATGTTTCAAGTCACTTAGTAAATTGCGGCCCTGCCTTGGGCCAAGAAGCCTCTCCGCATTATGCAACATACAGTTATCACCTGGACCAGCAGCCAAAACACGCATTGACAGCCTCGGTGCATGGCCAGCCCATGTGAGCGATGGCGATAACGAGATTGGCCTAGCACTGCGATTATCACAAAGCATACGTTTTGGTGCCGAGTTTTCTGGACAGACGTACAGTCAGTCGCCTTCACCGCCCATGATCGGAATGTGACTGTATCTGATAGCTCTAGCGATAGGCCAGGAGGATAAATAGCTCTTTTGAAAAATAAGATAACGCTCCATATAGAATCGGCAGTAAGTTCTGCGTGTTACGCTCACCCTTTTTGAAAGGCCGTGTGATACAACATGTCCGGTACATTGTATTAGTAATCATTAACGTGATAGCGCCAAAAATCGAAGAGTATTGACGCAGCCAGATTGCGCCGACTGGCGATGCGACAGATTTGATCACGCACACATTTTTCCGGGTACATTTTGCTGAGTACATTTTTCTGGGTACATTTTTAGAGAATCAGCGTACATTTTTGGACTAGGATACCACATTTTCATGTCATTCAGTGAAACTTCATTTTCGTATTTCGTGAAATTATTTCCGCTACTCGGCTAAAATTTATTCGAAAGTTTTTCGCATGGAAGCCGTGCCCTGTCTCAACAGGACGAACCAAACGGACATGTAAATGCTTTGAGAATTTCTCCAATTCGCTTCGGCTGATACGCTTGGATGTTGATTTCAATTTGACGCCGACGCAAGATTATGGCACTTGGATACGCGAATGTACAGCTCACAGATGCATTTTGGTTAAAATTGGCGACACTCGGTCTAGGACTCGCTTTCGAGCTCCATGCTACTGTTGTGACAGTTAGTACGACTGCAGCCATGGCCAATCGAAGTTGCTATCGCCGTCACCGACGGTGGGGTGTGTAGCAGCGTGACGAGCAAATCGCCGTAGTTGGCGTCCATGTCTGTGCGGATCCGCTCCTCGAGTGACCGACCCTGCAACTTCTCGTATGCCTTCTCGACCCGCGGCTGCATCCAATGGTAGCGGATAACAGCGGTACTCAACCCCTTTTTGTCTGTGCCTAGCCCCTTCATCATGCATTCGAAGTGGTCGGCGATCGCCGCGTCCGGCTCCAGCGCCAGGCGGACTGCACACAACAGCCAAAGACAAATAGTAAGTGTTAGCCAAGTACCAGTGACAGAATGCCGTGCAACCCAAGCAACAGCAAAGAATGACGGCATCGAGTCAGCTACGCGTACACACCATAAAACACAAGTGCCTCCATGGCGTATCCGCTAAACTCGTTTCGCACGGCCTCCTCCAAGTCGCTCACGTATTTCTTCTTGTAAATGTCATTTATTAGTACGAGGTGCTCGCGCGGGCTGGAGAACAGGATACGCACGAAGGAGATCTCGTCCGTGCCCCAACGGCCTTCCCCGGCGTCGTAGAGCTTGACAGCGTCCGCCTTGGCCTTCTCGTACGTGTGGATCTCGGAGTCGTACGTGCTTTGCAGTCTCTGTAGCAACAAAGACGGCGGTGAGCGCAAGTGGATGCCCATGCAGACTAAACAAGCGACATTACAATGCACTTAGTGAATGTACCTCAAGGGCCAGGAGGATGACCGCACGGTAGTCACCGCTCAAATCAGACCGCATGAGCCAAGTCAGGTCTTTGTTGAAGATGTAATAGTACGTCGACTTGAGCATCGAGAGCTCTTCGTTGGTGCGTCCCAGAAGGATCTAGTCCAGCGTCACGATACAATAGATGAATCAACCACCATATATCTACACATAGTAGCCCGTGTAAGACAATGAGGTCGTACTGGGTACAGTAGTCGCTCCTTCGTGCCGCTACCTGATGTCGCCATGTTAAGCACGAATGCCTCCGCTTCCGGAAGCGGCATCGTCAAGAGCAGCAGCAGAAATCGGGAGTCACCAACTGTCTCACGGCTCAGGGTGTCCTTGAGCTCCTCACGGTAAAGGTCCTTGTAGCGGTAGATCAGCAGTGATCGGTCGCTCGCCGACAGCGAGCCCAGCACATTTACGAGCACCTCCTCATCCACGCCCAAGCCATCCGTCGCATCACGTATCCGCTCGCAGGCATCATCGATCTCGCGTGGATACACAAGCGGCACGCCGTTAAATACGTCGTGCGCGTGCTGCGGGAATATGTGCTGCATCCGCTTGGCTTTTGATGGAATATCTGCATTCGACCATGGATAAATTTACAGTGTATACTTAACGTTGAATCATTGAATAATGTTGGACCAGAAATGGGTTGAAAGTGTGCGTGTTGGGGGATTAAACGCAAAGCTTGACTTTTAGGCGCCAACTATTGTGCTTTCTGCACTCAGGCGATGCTGCTAGCAGAGCGTGGAGTTTCAAGAAGTTGCAGCAGTAGCTTCTGATATTCGCCGCCAACTTCTGCTTCAATGCGGTCATGCAGCGACGTCTTGTACTTCTTCTCGTAAGAAGCCTTGATGTTGTTCATGTACGGGTTGTATCGCACAATGGCAGCTGAAAGAGCCGTCCTGTCAGTGCCAATACCAGCCATCGTGCCTTCAATGTACTCGGCGAGGAACGGCCAAGCGTTGAGGTTCAGACGGACTGGAGGAGAAGAACATAATATATTAGTACTTCAAGTGTGACGGTTTACAGATTATATAGACTTTGCGTACCAAAGAACGAGAGGGCGGCGCAATCGCTTCCGCTGAACTCGTTTTCAATAGCGTAGACCAAGTCATGCTCATGCTTGGCCTGGTACGCCGCGTCAATATTACGCAGGTGCTCAGGTGGGCTTGACAAGAGCAATTTGATGAATCCATTTTCATCAGTCCCCCACTTTCCTTCTCCAGCATTGTAAAGGAGCTCTGCGTCCTCGGCAGCTTTTTCCTTGGTGTGAAACGAAGGCTTGTAGTCAACCATTGGCTCCTGAATTGGTGACACAAATGTAAGACAGAAGCGTGTAAGTTTTGCAAGTAGTGACAAAGGCAAATGGTTAATCACTTACCTGAAGTGCCTTCATGATGACAGCTAAAAAGTCACCACTAATCTCGTCACTAATTGCAACAGAGAGGTCCGTGTCGTACATCTCAAAGTAAGCCTTCTTAAGCAGCCCAATCTCTTCATTGGTGCGACCCATTAGGATCGAGTAAAGTAAATGGTCCGTCGTACCAGCTCCCTTCATGGCATGAAAGAGAATATAGGCTTCAGCCTGAGGAAGACTGAAGCAAATGAGCTGCAACAAGTAGCCAAGATCTCCCGACGTCTCGCTCTTGACTTGATCACGCAGCGATTGATTGTACAACTCCTTGTATCGAATCGAGACGAGTCCACGGTCATTCGGTGTCAGTGGGCCAATCAGCTGTACAAGAGCCTTGTCGTCCGTTCCCAGTCCTTCACAGGCCGCATGAATCTTCTCCACAAGTGCATCAATCGAGGCTGAAAAGTGCGTCTTCTCCTTCTTGTAAGCATCAAAGGCAGACGGCGGATAAAGTCCCAGCATCGTGAAATAGGCGTGAGGTGAAGGAGGAGGAGGAGGAGGAATGCAACAGATAGCAAATGAAAGAATGAGCAGGAGGGGCGAGTGTCAATCCAGAATCCACACTTAAAATCCATTGCAATAACTAAAAATATCCAATGGATCTTTTGGACGTGCTTCCCTCCATAACCCAACTTTTTCTCGTAATTTGATTGGTAACAAATACATTTTCTTAATTATCTCGGATTCGTTATCAAAATGGAGAAGCGCAAGCAGCCGATCGATATTCAATACAAGCAGCTCCTGGGTAGGCAAAACAAGCTCATTGCACTCGTTGTCTACGTCAATTTTAACATGATGTTGTTTGTAATTACTTAGAGGCACTAGTGGATCGCCGTATTGTGCCCAACAAGTGGCTGGAGCAGCACAAACAAATCCGTGATGCCATCGCCGCACTGTATCAGGAACTGCCTCTGGCCAGCGATCAGCTGGTCAAATTCCGCGCTAAGAAGCCGATACATGATAATATCAACTACTTTGACTGCAAGTTTATTTTCCAGTGTCTCGAGCAGTCGAAAGAAGGCGCAGCGAAGAATCTCTTTGGTCAGGTGTGACGACCGATCATTCATCGATTGCCAGTATAGGAGACATAGTTGACGTGTTTATATGATTATATTGTAGTATACATCACCCGTACTGAAGCAGTGGAATGCTCTGATCCGTCAGTATGAGAAGAAGAATATCTACGCGGCCGAGACGGCACGTCTTATCGCACAGAACACGGCGTTTGAGATGTAGGTGATGTTTGGAGTAAGACAGGCGTGTTTGGTAGACTTAGATAGATTTTTTTGTATTTGTAATGATTAGTCCATTCTTGAAAAAGTCGATCGTGCAGAACGAGAAACAAGTTGCAGACAACAATCGCAAAATAGCGGTAAGCACGCAATTTATTGTCATTGTTGAGGATGGTTCTGTACTGGTTGTGTTTGAAAAGTCTTAATGCGCTTTCTAAGTTTAGGACCTGACTAGAAGTATTGCGGAATACAAGCGCAAACTTAAGGTCTCGTGTGCTGACATGGGCATTGCGGTGCGTCTCGGTTTCTTGGTTTCTTATAGCGCTAGCTTACGAATGTTTCTGAATATTTTACTGCTACACAGGGAGAACATTTTCGTGACGAATTACGGCGTTTGCCACTAGAGTTACCTAACATGTTCAAGAAAGTGGCGGAGTCAATCTGTTGCAATGAAATTGCTAGTGCTATCGAGTACCATCAGGCTCTCCAGACTTTTCTGCATGACTGTGAGGTCCCTGCCATACAACCCATCACAGAATCCTCAACCTCGACTTCTTTAAAAAAGGCCAAGAAGAGCAAGAAGAAGGGCAAGAAGCTAATTGAAGTAGTTGAAGAAAGTGGGTCTACAACAGATGAACCATTTGAGCTGGTTGTAGCGCCGCACAATTTTTTTGATGCGCTTAAGGAACTCTGTAGTGCAAGTGACGAGCTGAATGATGCAAATGCGACTTTGCATTTCGAAGCGGAGGCAGAAGATATCGGCTGGGATATTTCGCTTGGCGAGAGCGACACGGCTGATGGGAGCGGAATTGACTGGGGTATTGAAACAGTCGCGTCGACAGAACCTGCTGCTGCAGCTGAAGATACGCCTGTCGAGATCGATTGGAATATACCAACTTCGGACGTGGTGGAACCTGTCAGTGAAATGAACGATACTGAAGGGACAGACGTAGTGGAAACGGTGCCATATATGCCTGATTCTGCCGAAAAGATTACCCGTGTAGGACTTCTGGATCAAAGTGAATTCCGCACTCGTGCTGTCAATGATCTCCTGGAGCTGCGAGCGTTTCTCCGCCAGCGACTATTGGAGCTCTCTGGAAGTGATTCTGTTGCCTTCGCCAATCAGTTTCAGGGCTCTTCTCGTAAGGATTCCATCTTACATCTTTTTTAATCGAGTGCTGACAAGATTATGTTGTGCTGTATTGGTGCAAGTAGCGCTATTAGAACAGCAGAGCTCGGCTAAGATCGAGGAATTGCAAGCTGTGGTGGACAAAGCTTTATCCTTGCTGACGGACAAACGCCTGCAGCAGCTGTTACTCATTAAGACGTCAGAGCGATATTTGGACAGACACGTGGCAAGCCTGGAAATGTTGACCAAACACATGGACAAGTGCCGCCGTGAAATTCACGCTTTGGAGGACAAGAACATTGCTTTAATTGATGCCACGAAGAACGTCCAACCTCAGATCAATTCACTTGTCACCACAACGAAGAAGCTGAAGAAAGAGGTACGGAGCTGGCTCTTGATGAAGCATTTCCAAATAACTAACTCTCGATTGTACAGCTGGAAGCTGTGCTGCCGTCTCTGTTCATGGGATACAAAGTGAACGTCGTAGGTGAAGTCAACAGTCTTTAGTGCAAAGGTATTCATTCTAAAGCCGAATGCAAAATCATTGAAAGTAAGATGCAAAGCAGTTTGGGGTACTCATACGAATCATTGACTACACAACATGTAGACTAGATAGATGCTTGTCGCGTGAGGTCCTACACCTTTGATGAAAGCCGACAGAAGCTCGCTCAATACTGTCTTACGCCATCACGAGCGCAAACAGAATCATAAACGCGGTCACCGCAGACGCCATCTCGATCGAAGCCGCGTTGGATGCTTCGTCATTAACAGAGTTCGACCCTGCCGACTTACTGTTGTCTTTGTCGTTGTCGCCCACTGCTCCATCAAAGAACATGACGCTGCCAGAGCCAGAGTAGCTTTGCGCGAGGTTATCAGGCAATAGCACCATGATCGTTGTGGGTGCTTCTGTGTCATTTGTCGTGCTTGCAGCAGATGCGGAAGCGCCGGTAGTAGACCCATCACTTTCAAGCTCTGTGCCAGGCAAGTCCATCGTGGCTTGGATGCGTCGCAACGCGTTTGGTGGGTGGACAGCATCAAATTCAGTAGCAGGATTTTCAACATCAGCTACCGGTTCCCACTCGAAACCAGTGACGCAGATTGTTTCGAACATTGCGGCGACGAAAAATGTGAGGATGAATTGGGACGGCTTCATCACGAGGTTGGTGGAGACAATGAGGCTTGGAGTGTTAAAGAAAATTGGATAATGAACACTGAATAAGCAATTGTAATCAACTTCATGCACAGACCAGTTCAAGTCGGCTTCTTTCATCACTCTTGTCTCTTACACTGTACCCACAGTGCATTTCTTAACCATCACTCTCACTTTGTTGCCTACGCAACCATCCTTTATTGTTGCTGCTTCGTGAGCTAAGAGGCTTTTAGATCTGTCACTTCATCACCTCACAAATCAGAGCCTGTGACGGTATCGATCAGTTTCCACCCACCCATCGACAATTTTGTCGCTTGCTCAAACTGCTTGTGCTACCAAATCGACATCAGGGTCAAACCGGATACACTCTTCAGGTTGTTGCAGCATACATTAGTTCGTATGTCAGACTTTTGCGTGTCCGAGCTTTGAATTTACCAGCTCATTAATGCTACTGATGACCGTGTTGACCGGTTGCCTCGATATAATTGTTTAAAAGTTGCAGGAGTCTGGTACTTCCTCCTGAGTCTGAATAGAAACACTGGTACTTGATCGAATGTGGTGGATGTACGTGTTGGGAGTGAATGGATCGTCTGCTGAGGTAGGTGTGCTGAGTTGCGAAGAAGGGGAGGGCTACATTATGGCTACAGATAATGACACTGAATACTTAGTCAAGTATACTTATCTGTCCGGTTAGTGGAAAGTACTATAATAATAATTTAGAATATGATTATTAATCTGTTTGTGCACGATTTGGTATTACTTGATGTAGTGTCATATATATTACTAAATCAAGTAGTACTATATGTCATATATGACACTACAATATTGATAATACAGTATCTGTTTCGGAACAAATTGTAGAAATGGCTCGTAATCGTCTGCGTGGTAAGTTTAAGGCGTCTGCTGTGTTACCTAAGCAACAAAGCAGTCATTTTAACACCGTTTAGGGCAACGACATCGCATTGAGTAGGTAGTAGGTCCCCAATGCGCTCCCATGCTCGGTCAAGATCTCGGTCTCGATCAAAGGAGAAATCTTCTAGGTCAGTCTTACTCTTATCTATCTAAATCCATTGAGCCAAAACTTACTCCTCTCTACGCTTCAGCCGTGCCGAACATCGGTCGAGAGGTCGAGAGCGTCATGGTGAAACACGCTCTCCTCGTCGCAGCAGCCACAGACAAAAGCACGAGCGCCATGTCTCCGCGTCTCGGAGCAGGAGCAGATCGTCCGATGTGGGCTCAAGTGACAGCAGCAGAAAGGAGAGGAAGAGATCGCACCAGTCGAAGAAGAGGAAGAAACACCGGAGCTTCGATGATAAGAAGCGCAAGCATAAGTTGTCCGAGTCTAAGAAGAAAAGTCAGAAAAAGAATGACCGGAAGCAAAGCCACAAGAAGAGTCGCCGTAGACATGGACACGACGACGATTCGTCTTCGTCTTCTTCGTCCGACTCAGACACCATTCGAAGTGCGATCTCAGGAAAGAAAATCAAGCGCAAGCTGGATCGATCGGCAGCAGACGTACAAGGTCAAAAGAGTCGCCAGCAGCTGCTGCAATTCTATAACGGTATGTTCGATTAGGACGATAGCTTTTTTGTCGTGTCAGCAGATACGAACTAGTGCACACAAGAGCACTTAGAAGTAATACCTAATAAAGATGCAGATCTCTTTGTCTTTGGCACGATAAATGCTCGTTTACAAAACGTCTATGGATTACTATGCGGTAAGTGGTGACACCAACATCGCCCGCAAACTTTGCTGTCGCAGCCATGACGCTATATAAGCAGAATCAACCTGCACCAGTTGATTCTGATGACACGGCTGTCAAGTCGCACCAACCCATGCAACGCTACTTAGAGCTTGATGAACCACAGCTGCTAGTGTGATGAAAGATGCTCTGATTTACGCAATCTCTGAGCCAATAACGCTTTAGATGGTACTACAAAGAGATAAAAAGTCGTTTAAAACAACTAAATGACTTCATAACTACGGTGTTTATGACATTGTGAATGATAAAGACGTAGTTGTGTACGGGGTATTGCCTTCAGACTGAAGAAAAGGACGTTAGTTTTACGACAGTCATCTGAGCAGACCACAGGCCCGCGGTGGTGAGAATCGAGAAACCAAAAAGCTCTGATACTTCTACCATCATCAGATTTTTATTTACATGTGGAGACCATTTAAATCCAAGACTCGAAGACATCAATTCACTGAGTATGATAGTGAAAACCTCTTCAATCCAATAAGAAAGAAATACCAATTTTGAAAGTCTGTGATTGCTGAAGAGAATGGACACGGCGCTTAGCGAGGCCTTGCGGCGGGGCAATCCAGTGGTGTTTTTCGACGTCTCTATTGGGGGTGCACCCGTCGGCCGCCTACGTCTAGAGCTGTTCAAGAAGGACTGCCCGCGCACGGTCGAGAACTTCAGGTAAGTCATGTATGTAATCTGGCTGACTGTAGACGACTCAAATGGACGACTAATGTGGTGGTTTGTTTTCTGCTCGCGTACTTCTTCGATACAACAGACAATTTTGCACCGGTGAATACAAGTAAGAGCACGTAGGTGCTAGTATTGAGCATGAAACGTGAGACTGATACACGTTGCTGTTATGCTTTTGGTCGTGCGTTGTCGTAAATGCACAGGAAATCAGAGCTGCCAGTGGGCTACAAGGGCTCCACGTTTCACCGTGTTATCAAAGAGTTTATGGTACAAGGTGGAGATTTTTTGAAAGTAAGACGTGCTGTTCATGTGTGGTTTCAGGTGTCGTTTCTTGTGATATTAACGTTACGTGGTGGTAGGGCGACGGTACCGGTCGAATCAGCATTTATGGCGACAAATTTGAAGATGAGAACTTTATTCACAAGCATACGGAGGCAGGATTGTTATCAATGGTAAAGTCTACCTTGTTTCTTGTGCACTACATGCTATTTTCTCAGACAGTTTACTGCAGGCGAATAGCGGGCCAGGGTCAAATGGCTGCCAGTTTTTCCTCACGTGCGCGCCATGCGACTGGCTAGACGGAAAGCACGTGGTCTTTGGCAAGGTACTAGACTCGACATCGATGTTACTGCTGCGTAAGATGGAGAGTGTGCCTGTGGAGCACACTAGTAAGCCTAAATTAGCTATTACTGTCACCGAATGTGGAGAGCTTTAGGCAATAAGAAACACCAAGATACTGTTGTTGCTGTTACTTCAATTAAAAAAACCTCATTCGTTTTACTGGACGAGAACGTAAGGTTTTATTTCATCAGGATATCTTGCAGGGGGCCCCATTGATTTTGTTTTTGCTAAGTAAAGGAGGAGACCATCACTCCTTTTTTAAACCTACAGCAAACGCCACGCATTTCGCTTTGCGTCGCCCACAGCGAGCTCTTTGCCCCCCCCCTCCATCCGCAGAAAACACATTAGAAACATGAGTAAACGTGACTACTTTCTTCAAAAAGGTCTCGAGATGCAGCGCCTTGACGAACAGATTTCCATCGCCCCCGCAGGCGGCAGCGTATCGCGCGAAGTAAGACGCGTCTTTTTTTTCTCACCTAATGACTTGACATTACTATGCACATACTAACTTGCTATTGTTTGACAGGTGACCAAATACCGTGAGCTATGCCCACCCGGCATCCCAGACATTCAGATCCAGAAGATGATTGGTCAGTGCAAAGGTGACGCCCAACGCATGGAGAACGTCATTAGCGAACTGTGGGAAGACTATCGCGGCCACGGTCATGATGATGCCTGGGCCACTGTTATCAAAAAGACCACCAAGAAGAAACACGTGCGTTTTTTCTCTTTATAGTTTATTAGAGACGTGGTTTGACCTCACGGCTGACCTCATGCTGACAATCGTGTGCAAACTTCTTTTCTCCTTCTTTTGTATCCATTTTTACTGCAGGACAATTTATCGCAGCGCTCGTATTCGTCACAGAAGACACAAAAACAGGACGATAAAGCAGATGCATCGCAGAATGGTGACGCACAGCCCTCCAGGTCGTTGGAGCGGTTTTCTACGCGAGGCCGTGGCAGTATGAGAGGCCGAGGCATGACCTCCTCACGGGGTGGACGGGGAGGCCGTGGTGGTCGTAATCATGGCGGAGCTGTCGTAGCCACCGGTAGCACGCGTGCAAACCGTAGCGGTGATAACGAAGATGACAATCCGGAGAATGACGACAACTTTACCGACGGTACCGGCCCCTTCCACGAATCTCGTGTGCAGCAATCATCGAAAGCGGCTAAAGACTCGAAAAGAGACCGTGGAGCAAAGTTTATCAGTAAAACGACACCCTCGCAGCCTGTTGCTCAGGCTCCTCCTGTAGTTCACCCCGTATTGACAGGCGCTTGGACTAAAAAGCTGAATGTATCCAGCGTACCTGCAACTCCCAGACCTGTAGAACCCATAGCCACACCCGCTCCTGCATCGGCACCTGCATCTGCAACGGAACCCAAGCCAGCGGAGAAACCGTCGACACCGGCTACAGAAGCTGAGGCTGTTGCCGTTACTTCCACACCTGAGGACTACCAACTAGCCAGCCCGAAGAAGAAAGTTCAGCAGGAAAAGAAGAAGAGTAAGAAGACGCAGACATCCAGCACAAAGGAAGCAGGTGAGGAAAGTGTTGTTGTCAAAAAGTCTGAAGTGCTGAGCGTCGTGGACAAGATAGCCAGTCCTGACGCTTCTCCGAAGAACAATGCTGAAAAGAAGAAGACAGAAACTGTGGAGACCACGGTAGAAAGCTCTGCCTCAAATATTGCTGCTGGATGGGGCTCCCTAGATGTGTCCACGTCAACGGTGGACGAATGGTCTTCGTCTGCTCCTGCAGATGCCACGGAGCCTAACAAGATATCGGCTTCGAATGCATGGGTGCGTGGTAGTCCTATCCTCTCTCCTCCTGCCAGCAAAAGAAATGCCCCTGCACTGAAGTCGCCGGATGCCGATGCAAGGGCGAACGTTGTACCGGAATCTCCGAAGGATACTGATGTCCCTCGTTCTAGCGGATCGGCGTCGACGAGTCCTCGGCCGTACCTTAAGATGGGCAAGTGGGATAGCGCCGCAACGCCGAACCTGTCACTTCAGTTTGGTAGCTTTTCGCTGAGTGGCATGGATTCACTTGAGCCTACATCGCCGCATGGTTGGGCCTCGACGACTACAACTACTACGACATCCAGCTCGAACAATGGCGACAAAACCGTAACTTCATTTGCCACGAACCAAAATGCGTGGGGTACCACTGCCGCGTCGCCAAAGAAAACAGTGTCATCACCCCGCAATGAGCAGCCTCGTGTGCAGGAAGGATCTGTTACAAAAGCTACAGCTTCTGCGCCTCCAGGACTATCAGTGGACTCGGGCCGTATGACTCCTCCTACAGGACAGTCTCCTCGGTATGCACCATCGGCTCCATCTCCTGCATCTCTGCCTAAGCCTGATGAAGTTAAGCGTGGCACCCCTACACGCGTTCAGGGAGGACCATTTCAAACTCAAGGCGGAGCTGCGGCACAGACAAATAAAATGAACATCGGCTACGGCACGGGCCTATACCAAGCATCTTATGGCCAGTACGCGATGGATCTTGGTCGCACTGCTGCGGCCTCAACCCCAGGCCAGCTCGCAACTACCTCTGGGACTCCGAAAAGCGTTGGTGCTCGCGGTAGTGCTCAAGTTGCGACTCAATCTCCTACACGCAGTCAACATCCCGTGGCACAGATGCAGCAGATCCCGCTGCAACAACAATCACAGCAGCATCAACAGCATCAACAGCAACAGATCCAGCAGCACGCACAGCAGAAACAAAGTCAGCAGCAACAAGGTCAGCAACCGCAGCAGAGCCAGACTCAGCAGCAAACAGCTGCCCAGTTGCACCAGCAAACTCAGGCTGGCATGCAACAGGGCTACCACTACGCTCCTCCTCCCCCGCCAGGCATGGCGCTGCCGTACAATCCGTACAATTATGCCGGGTACTATCAGGGCTATGGCTACTACCAGAACCCGCAGGTTCGTATTTGTTGCTTGTTTTGATTTTGATGTGACGAATGTGCTCACGATATTCTACGCTGTTGTTTGTATTCCTGCCCAGTTTGCGCAGTACAGCCCGCGAACGCAGTATCCGCCACGTGGCAGCGTGCCATATGGTGTTGAAGGGCCTGTGCCGGGATTTTCGAACCCGCCGAATATGCCTTATCAGGACCAGCACATGCTGGCCCAGCAGCATGAGTACGCCGGAGCCGTACCCCAAGGTTTCGGCGAAATTAATACTGCGTACATGCAGCAGCCGTCAATACAGCAGCAGGGTGGCCACCACCACCACGGTCACTCGAGTGGCTCGCAGAACCACAGCAAGGGTGGTTCCGCTTCTGCTGTTGGGGGTGCTGGCGCACAGCACTCACACGGCCAGCGCGGTAATGCAGGGATGCAGGGTTATCAGAACGCAGGAGGTCGTGACCACGCATCGCCACCGGTGCCTAACGCTTCAGCGGCCATGACCGGTTCGTACGGCCAGCACTACGGCTGGGCGGGTAATTACGGAGCCCAACCTGTCGGCGGCTGGAGCCACATGATGCCCCAGGGCTACCAGCAGTCGCCGTCCCAACAACAACAACAGCAAGTTCCGCAACAACAGCAGCAGCCAAACGCGCACCAACAGAGCTATCACCAATACGGCAACAACAGTGCCCAGGCTAGCAACATTGCGAATGACGTGAACCAAGCACGCTGGAGCAGCTCGTAGGCAAGCGCTTGTGGGCGAACGACACATGCTGCGCTTCGGCCGGCCAGTCGTGTGTCGTGTGACTAATCGCCCCTACATCTTAGCTAGGTAATGAGAGCAAATGGGCATATCGCGTGCGTCAGTAGCGGCGCACGAGTCGAGGGGAGGAGGACGAAATAACGATACGAGTCGAAGCTGTATGACTAAGAGGGAAACGAAGCGTTCATTCCATCATCGACATGAAGGTTGTCTACGACAATTGCCACAATTTTGAAAGATCTAGGAATAAACATGCTGCACGCACAAACGTTTGGCTGTTGACGCTAAATGAACGTAATCCTACTCTCACAAGAAGCAATCACAAGGACAACAATACACCACTTGATTCAAGTCTCGAAGGCAAATGGATGTCCAGTAACAATAATCCTCACTTCTCAAACAAATCCAATCTCGCTTGCACAGGACATCTCGTCTGCTGTCTGTTGCCTGATTGAAGATCCTCCTCCCACCTGCATCGACAAGCGACGTAGCAACAGTCCGGGCTTCGCCACATCCATAACGCAGCCGCCACTTACCTCCTCACTCTGTCCTCAGGCAGAGAGAGGCTCAGTTGCGCTTCCACAATATTGGTCGGAACGTTACATTAACTTCAAGTGCCCAAAAGTCGCCCAAGTCTACAAAAGACGTTTAACAAAAGTAGCGCAATGCAGTCGGCAGAGGCTCTTCACAGCCGCCGCTTGGCGTCACACGATACAAGAATTCTTTCGTTCGATTGTATGTCATTGTATTGACTGCACTAGACGCTGTGACATTTAAGGCCGCGTTTTCTGCGACTGATTTGCTTTCACTATGATTTCTCAAGGAACGTTGTATAATTTTGACGACTGTTCAAGATCCACTCTCCCGTCTGACGCAAAACGGCCTGATATGCCCATCCTCCATTTTTTTTAGTTCAACACAACAGCAACCGCGCACTGAACGAAGAACTGACACTGTGACTTTTTCTCCCTAAGACACAAGGTACAAAGCGATAATCACATTAAGAAGTCGTCATAACTCTATAAAAGATACCAACCAATCGGAGCCAATTAGCCACCGATCTTCTCTCCATGGACAAAGGAGCGCGCGTATGGGTCGCTGACTCGACGGACAAGCGCGTGTGGCTCGCAGCGCGGGTACTTGAAGTGGGCGCTACTACCGTGTCCGTAGAGATTGAGGACGATCGTCCAATTGAGCCTTTGACGTGCATGAAGCACTGCGGCTCACACGATGATCGAGACGACACCGATCCTGCCGTGCTACCAAAACAAAGAGACGTAGCTCTGACCTATACAAGCTCGGGCGAATGCACGAACGTTTTGCAGCGTAATATGCCACGTGAACAGGACCAGCGCGACCTCGTGGCGTTGCCACATTTGCACGAAGCATCTATTTTGAATGCGCTGCGTCTGCGCTACGAGCGTCACGCCATTTACACTCACATTGGCGATATCTTGATCTCTATTAATCCTTTCCAGCACCTCCCGCACCTTTACGGAGATGAGGTGCTGCAGAAATACATTTACGACCACAACGCACAAGTTGGCGACTGTGTAAGGGATTCAGAACCGAGAGAGCCGCATCTATTTGCAGTGGCTCGAGCTGCTTACATGGACATTGTGCAGAATGCACGCAGTCAAGCCATCCTTATTAGCGGTGAGAGTGGTGCTGGCAAGACCGAAGCCACCAAGATTATCATGACTTACTTTGCCGTCACGTGTGGGACCAGCAATAACGTGACAGCTGCAGAATCAGTGTCATCACTTGACTCATTGTCACACACTACAATTGAAGAGCAAGTGTTGCAATCCAACCCTATTTTAGAAGCATTTGGTAATGCACGTACCGTGCGAAACGACAATAGCTCGCGTTTTGGCAAGTTTATCGAGTTGCGTTTCCGAGACGAGCGACAGAGACTCGCGGGTGCTCGCATCCGAACTTATCTTTTGGAAAAGATCCGAGTCATTAAACAAGCGACCAACGAACGAAACTTTCATATCTTTTATGAACTACTGAGTGCAGACACAACTTGTGTGAGTAAGGAGCAAAAACAAGCACTGGCGATCAGTGGAGGATCTCAAAGCTTTCGCTTGCTAAATCAGAGTAGGTGCTCGAAGCGACGCGACGGTGTAAAGGATACTGTACAGTTTCGTGCTACACGAAGAGCAATGCAACAGCTCAGTATGAGAGAAAATGAGATCAGTGGAGTGCTGGAAGTTGTTGCAGCTGTGTTGCACATGGGCAACGTGGATTTCGAACAAGTACCGCATAAGCATGAAGATAGTGTGTTTGCTGATGAAGCGCGCGTTGTCACATCGGCGGTTGGAAAATTCAATCATTTCGAAAAGGCAGCCGAGCTATTGGGTGTCTCAACGGAAGCGTTGAATCATGCACTAACCAAGCGCTGGCTGCATACTTCCAGCGAAACATTGGTCGTAGGAGTTGACGTCGCTCGCGCTTGCAACACTCGCAACGCACTAACAATGGAATGCTACCGTCTTCTATTCGAATGGCTTGTAGCACGCATTAACAACAAACTTCAACGACAAGCTCGTGCACCATATGACGCAGACGAGTTTGGCAATGAAGAAGAAGACTCGACTGATTTTATCGGACTACTCGATATATTTGGATTCGAGGATATGGCCGAAAATTCCTTTGAGCAGCTTTGCATTAATTATGCCAATGAGGCTTTGCAACACCAGTTCAATCAGTATATCTTTGAGGAAGAACAGCGATTGTATCGTGATGAGGGAATCCGCTGGAGCTTTGTGGACTTTCCGAACAACCGCGCGTGTCTGGAACTGTATGAACACCGACCGATAGGCATTTTCTCACTAACGGACCAGGAGTGTGTCTTCCCTCAGGGTACAGACCGAGCCCTCGTGGCCAAGTATTACCAGGAGTTTGAGAAGAAGAGTCAACACTCGCATTTTCTATCAGCGCCCAATCTTCAGCGCGCGACACAATTTGTAGTGGCACATTATGCTGGACGGGTCACTTATACCATTGATGGTTTTCTTGCAAAGAATAAAGATTCCCTTTGCGAGAGCGCGGCACAACTGTTGGCTGGATCTTCTAGTCCGCTCGTCCAGGCTCTTGCTGCAGGATCGGCCGATGAAAAGGGTGTCCTGGCGGACACGGACCTGGAAGGATATGGCGGGCGGATCCGTCGACGTGCCAAATCGGCCATCGCAGCAGTTAGTGTTGGTACGCAATTCAAGATCCAACTAAACGAGCTATTGACGACTGTCCGTGCCACAACACCTCGGTATGTCCGTTGTATTAAACCTAATGACTCGCACGTGAGCTCGCTTTTTGAAAGCACACGAGTTGTTGAACAGCTACGCAGTGGTGGCGTGCTTGAAGCTGTGAGAGTAGCACGAGCAGGATTTCCTGTACGTCTTTCACATCAGCAATTCCTCGGTCGTTATCGTCGCGTATTGCTCTCGCTCTGCAAATCAACCGACAATGGAATGGAAACAAAGCATAGAAGTTGGGGCGAATTGGACTTGTGTTTGCACCAGCTCACACAAGTTCTTCTTGCCGATGAAAAGGTGCAAGGCGAAGACGACGACGAGGAAGACGAGCAGAGTCGTCAGATGCGATGCGGAGTTAGTCTAGGCAAGACACGGGTCTTTTTCCGCCGAAAGCCATACGAGAAACTGGAAAATCTTCGTGTAACTGTACGTCAAGGAGCCAGCCTCATCATCCAAACGCACGCTAGAGGCTTTTTGGCGCGAAATAGGTACCGACATCTTTGCCAAGTTACAGTCGTAGTCCAAGCTCGTGTGCGCGGACGCCGTGCTTACCGACATGTTTGCTGGATGCGCGCGATGCATCAAGCTCGTACGTTACAAGCCAGAATGCGCCAGCTTTGCGCGCGCAGTAAATTTCTTCGTGCTCGAGCAGGAGTACTGGCAGTGCAATGCCGCTTCCGCTGCCGCCGTGCCACTCGAGTCGTGCAGGCGATTCGGGAAGCGCGTGCTGCGATACATATTTCCACAGCTTGGCGGCGGTCATCAGCGCAACGAAAGTACCGCAAGCTCTGTAGCGCCGCTTTGGCGCTTCAATGTGCGACGCGTTTGCGAATTGCGAAGCAAGCTTTAAAGATGCTACGCGAAGAAAGCCGAAACGTAGTCAAGCTAAAAGAGGATAATGCCCAGCTGAGGGACGAGCTGACCGAACTGCGTCGGCAGATGCAGGTCATGGTGGCTCAAAGCGTGAATAAGGAGTGTCAGCTTTTGTCGTTGAAGACTGACGACCTCTCGTGCAATTCTCCGCAGAAGACAGTTATGTCTTTGTCAGACGAAGAAGACGACAGCAATGAACGTGACTGCGAGAATCAACTGGATCTTGATTTGTTGAAAGATCTCGTATCTGTATCTAATGATGGGAACAATGACGTGGGTAGTCATGATGTTGGTTGCGTCGTGGACTTGTCATTCAGCCAACAGAGGCTTAATCTCAAGCCACTGAATGTGCGGCTGAGTCGCCGCTACAGCTTACCACCTCTACTTGGTCCGGAAAACAACGATGTTGCAAGAGAAGATTCCATACCCTCTGCATCGCTTCGTGCTTCTCGATCTCGTGATCGACGCCACAGTTTGGATTTGTGGCAGCTACAGGAGGTGGAGTCCCTCAAAGAAGCTTGCGCTTTGCGTGAAGAAATTCGTGACGCGGCTGCTAACGAGCCCTCGCCAGAACGTCAGCAGCAGCAAGAAATTGCGCTTCAGAAGCTTGTTGCCTCCCAGATCAAGCGCAAGACAATGCAATTGCAGCTACAGCTACCGGAGCTTGAGCTGAAAGTGAATAACAAATTTATTGACGCTGGTCCAGTCTCGTTCAATAGCCGCCAGTGCCGTTCCCGCACGGGTGACGGTTCTCCTCGAGTTTTGGCACCATTGACGTCATATTGCCAGGAGAATTCTTCGTCCTGGAACTTAGCAGTATCCAGTAGTATGACGCACGCAACGAACGGTTGCATGCCAGTTTGCTTTGACAGCCCGAATTACGCTGGTTCGTTGATAGCTGACGATCGCTCGACGGATGGTGCGGACGACATGTACGGCCGAGGTCATTACCCAATGCCCCGCCGCTCAGCATCTACTGGTATGTATCGTTCACGGTCTTTGTCAAATGGCTCATCATGCTTCGCGCCATCTATAACAATTCGTCCCGGAGTCACCGTCCCTCGCTTTGCTAAAGCCCCTACGTGCTTCGAGTGCAGTTGCATATTCAGCATTCTAGTGCGTCGCCACCACTGCCGCCAATGTGGCAACTCGTTCTGCTATGAACATTCGACACGTCAGCTAGCTCTACCTCACTTGGGCTACATGGCGGCTCAGCGCGTCTGTGATATGTGCTTTGAGGCACACATCGAGGCCATGACATCTTTCAAGTTGCCATCCTTGATGCGGTATCCCACGGATGAGTTGTCAACTTCATCATTTGCAAGCTCGCCGCGCGGGTTGGAAAGCAACAACAGCTGCTATGGACTTGAGAGTTTAGCCATGGATCCAGCACGAGTAACTCCACTGCGTACATAACAAACAACTTCTTGTCAATAATTATCCAAGTAGGTCAGACGAAAAAATGTCGATAAGTGATCCACAAAACTACATGGGATTTCAATGCCTGATGATACTTCCTTCATGTGACTCGTTTCTTCAATTCTTGGCTTTAGGGACCTCTTTAGGCTTCAAAGGCGCAAACGTCATGCGATGAATGGCACATGCTCCGTGCTTGGCGATGGAAGCTACGTGAGCTTTCGTCGGGTACCCCTTGTGCTGTGCTAGTCCGTACTGCGGGTACTGCTTATCGTACTCACGCATGAGGCGATCTCGTGTGACCTTGGCGATGATGGAAGCTGCCGCGATGCTAAAAACTTTGGAGTCTCCCTTGACCACGGCTTCCGCCGGCAACTCCAGCGTCGTCGGCAGTTTGTTGCCGTCCACCAACACAAATGTCTTGTCCATCTGCTGCAGCCGCTCCGCCACCTCGTTCACTGACTTGGTCATTGACTCCAGTGTCGCCTGTAGAATATTAATCTCATCAATGCGCTGTGCGCTATTCACATGAACCGCGTAGGTGACACTCGGATGATTTGTCAGCAAGTCAAACAGCTTTTCTCGTTGAGGCTCCAAGATCTTTTTACTATCGTCGATACCTTCGATCGTCACATTAGTCGGCACATGACACGCTACCGCAACCACAGGACCAGCAAGAGGCCCTCGACCAGCTTCGTCTACACCAATGACAGTTGTATAACCCTTGGCTTCGTAGCGAGTCTCAAAGGCACGCGATAACGACAGTTTTTTCGCGTTTGTGGACGTTTTCTTGACACTTGGCACTCGAAAAACTCGTGATGAGATGGAGGATACGATATCAATGCTCTTGGACGCCACTGGAGTCAACTCTTTCGCGTGTAGACGCGGAGATCGGCGCGTTGCGGCAGTCGCAGCCGCAGCGACCTTGACGCTGCGCTTGATCGTCTTGCACATAATTATTTCACTGTTTTATCCAATCGTGTCTTTTCATTTTAATAACATCGCGAGTGATTGGTGAATATTACGTACCATCCTGCTTGGCTAGGAAGCTGTGGACGTCATAATCACATTCACGGTCCAGTGTCTCAGCTCGAAGAGATCCATTAGAAATGGCTGACGCAACACCGTCCGCCCCGAAAAAGCTCACAAAGAAAGAACTACGCATCCTCGAACGTCAGAAAGCAGCCGTAGCTGCTGCTGGCCCTACACTGACTGAAACGTATGGTGAGCTGCCTCTCGTCCAGTCGAAGGAACGCCTTCATCACGTCTATAAATTGTACGTAGTCGAAGCATTTTTTTCATGTTAATTGATGCTACAAAGTAATTTAAATGACGAGTTTCTGATCTTATAGAGTAAAAGATCTAAACTTGGAGCTACAAGGTGAAAGCTTTTGGGTACGCGGGTACCTACAGACTGTGCGTGCCAAGTCCAAGCTTGCCTTCATCACGCTGCGTCAAGAGACGGCTACGATCCAAGGTATTTTGCATGAAAGTGACAAGGTTTCGCGCCCTATGATCAAATTTGTGGCCGGTGTACCCAAGGAGTCTGTCGTGGATGTGTTTGTGACGCTTACCGTGCCCGACAGCCCCGTGCTCAGCACCACGCAGAAAGACGTAGAGCTTAAGGTGGAGAAATTCTTTGTCGTCAGCAAGGCGTTACTCGAACTGCCTTTCCAGGTAGAAGACGCTGCTCGCTCTGATGTCGTTGTCAAGGCCGAGGGATCTACGTACGTGAATGTTGGGCTGGAGACTCGTCTCAACACACGTCCGCTTGACTTGCGGACGCCTGCCAACCAGTGTATTATGCGTATTCAGGCGGCTGTGGGCCAGCTCTTCCGTGAGTTCCTTATCAAGCGCGACTTTGTTGAGATTCACACGCCCAAACTTGTAGGTGGAGCCTCGGAAAGCGGAGCCAACTGCTTTACGCTCAAGTACTTTGATCAAGACGCTGCATTGGCTCAAAGCCCCCAGACGTACAAGCAAATGGCTTGCGCTGTCGCTGGTCTTGAGCGTGTGTTCGAGGTTGGCCCAGTCTTTCGTGCCGAGAACTCGAACACGCACCGCCACATGTGTGAGTTTGTTGGTCTTGACCTGGAAATGACCATCAAGGACCACTACCACGAGGTGCTGGAAGTGTTTTCGGACCTGTTCATCTATATCTTTGATGGTCTAAAGGAGCGTTATGCTAAAGAGCTGGCTATCATTAATGAACAGCACCCGTTCGAGCCGCTCAAGTACAACAAGCCGTCGCTCGTCATCAACTTTGAGGAAGGTGTAAAGATGCTGAAGGAGGCTGGTGCCACGCAGGAGCCTGAAGACGACCTAAACACTGAAAATGAGAAGTGGCTTGGCCGGCTCGTTAAGGAGAAGTATGACACGGACTTTTACATTCTGGACAAGTTCCCGCTTGGCGTACGTCCGTTTTACACGATGCCGGACCCGAATGATAAGCGCTGGAGTAACTCGTACGACATGATGATACGTGGTGAGGAAATTGTCTCCGGCGCCCAACGTGTGCACGATCCCAACCTCCTCATTCAGCGCATGGATGAGTTGGGCGTGCCGCAAGAGTCTATGCGCACATACATTGACTCGTTCCGGCTTGGCGCTTTGCCCCACGGCGGTGGTGGCATTGGTTTGGAGCGTGTTGTTATGCTTTACTTGGGTTTGGGTAACATCCGCAAGGCCTCCATGTTCCCGCGTGACCCGAAGCGATTGTATCCGTAACCAGTCTTCGCTTGTTTTGTTCGACCATGCATGCAGGACCGGGCCGTCGCAATGATGCTTCCGTGCTTGCGCGACTGCAAATTAGGTCGTCGTGGATTTATGTTGAATAAGCAATATGCAACGAACCATGCATCAATTTAGAACATTCACATCAAACATGATAAGGCTGCTGCATCGACTGACTATCCTTCATTGGTGATGTCGAGCAGCCTTCAGCTGGCGTTGCTCTTGTGTATCATCTTCGTGTACCCTTGACGGCTTCTTCTCGTCTCCTTCATCACTCTGTTAATGCAGACACAGCCCTTCATATTAAATATCACAATACTGTACATACTGATACTTACATCATCGTCATACTCCTCTCCTAAAAGTAAAACGCCGGCACTCTTTTTTCTCGCTGACACAGCTTGAGGGTTCTCGTCGCGCAGAAAGCAATAGTAGCCATGTAGCTCATGCGAAGTATCCAAAAAACGAAACTTGGCAATCGCACCAAGCTTGACCTACCATTCCAATTCTTAGCATTCCTCTCGATGACAATACCACGTGTATATCAAGTACAGAGACCGAAACTACGCGTACCTTTAGCAAAACCTCTAGCTGCGGATGCTCTCGCACCTTGTTAGCTGTAGCTTCCAGGATCGCATGCCGTTTCTTAGTCTTAGGCTACAAAATGATCAAATAATCAGACGATCGTCCACATTGACCCAATTATCCATCACACGAGCACCACACCAAGATGAGATGGTCGGGCACCTTCCACAGTGGTTCAAAAGCTTCTCCATCAATCTCTTGGTCACTTTCATCATCTGAGTATTGATAAGGGAATTTGTTCGCCACTGGAAACGTCTTGTCCAATGGTGGAAACTCGACCGCGTAATCTCCGAAACGCAGACGATGCAGCACCTGCTCCTCCGTGTCTTCTTCATCTTCTTTCTCTCCTGTTTTTGTACGTACTTTTGTGCGCTTGATCGGCGTCCGCTTTCTCTTTTTTAGCTGACGAAATACACTCCGATCTTCCAGCAAATTCCGAGCGTCAAAGCGATCCAAACGTAAATCCGTATCATGCTCTCCACGCCACGCAATCAGATGTAACTCTTTGTGCAGCTTCCACGCAGTATCAGGATCATTAAACACATGACAACTGTATCCACGCACACCTAGTGAAAACACATGAACGTCGGTCATTTTGTAAACCGATTTTTGTAACCCCATTTTTTGTAATCCGATAATTGTAATCCTTTTTTTGTTTATTATTCGTTTTGCTTGTTAACTGTAACTGTTCTCTATCGGACTCTGATTCAAAATAGTATCACTATAAAAATGAGTGGGCGACGACGCAGTCGCAGTCCTCGACATGAAAAACACACTCGCAGCCGTAGCCAAAGCAGAAGTGGGAGTGGGAGTCACTCGGCGTCTCTAAAGCACAAGCATCATCATCATCGACAGTATGAGCGGGATCACCGACGTCATGAAGGAGATGAAGAACAGAAAGGGGGCGAGCGACATGAGGTTGCGCACAGGTCGCGCATCTTGACGGTCGTGAACTCGGATGAAAGCGACAGTAGCAGTTTGATTACTACAGCCAAGAAGAGTAGAGATAGTTTATCGGATAACAAGCACCGACACCACAGCCATCGTCATTCGAAACGTCGGCGTTCGCGCTCGTCGTCCGAGTCGTCGTCCGAGTCGGAGAGCTCTGACGAGTCGAAGCGTGAGCAATTACGTCACAAGAGGAAACACAAGCACAAGACCTTGCACAAGAGCAAGAAACAACACAAGAAGAGAAAGAAGGACAGCAAGAGCACGAAACATGCTGTAAATCAGGACGAGTACGGCAAGTACGGCATCCTGCGCGAGTCGGACTTCCATAGCAAGAGCGTGTCGTTTCAGGCGTGGCTTCGAGACGTGAAAAACATGGGCGAGTTCAATGGACCCAAGTGGGAAGCCATGGAACTCTTTAAAGAGTACATGGAAGACTACAATACGTGCACAATGCCCCACAAAAAGTACTATGATATTGAAAAGTTTGAGATGAAACGGTATCAAAAGCAGCAGCGCAAGGCGTTTGCAAAGCAGAAGGGGGCGTCCAATAAGGCACTGGACACGGCGGCTGATGAAGAGCGACTGCGTCGTGAACGCCTCGATGCACGCGAGAAGAAGGAACAGGAGGAATTTCGCCTTGTGCTGCAACTTATGGACAAGGACAAGATCGAAGCCATGCGTGAGCAGGAGCGTCTCCGTGCACAGATGCAATTGTTTTACAAGTCTGGAAATGTCGAAGAGGCTCGTCGTCTCGAGCAGAGTCTTAATAAGGTCGAGGAGGATCCGCGCTTTAAACGGTGAGATATTGGCTTAAGGTGTGGAATTGCTGGTAATTTGGCTTGGCTTGTGTTACTTCACTGAATACATGTGAAGTAGTGATAAAAATGGTGTGTGATAGATACACAGGTTAAGTCGATGTAATTAACACTAATTATAAATTTCAAGCTGCAAAAAGTACCCAAATTGTGCTACTACGTCGTGTGTTACAACTAATAACCTGTATAATCAAATACAATAATTGCCATCCCAACCATACATAAATCAAGTCATAAACTGATTTCGTATCAAATTTAACATACGTTTCGCTATTAGAAAATGATGTGACGCCAGGGGTTTTGTCGACTTTTGCTACAATGTTCTCATCGAGCTCCTCTGTATCCTCTGCCAACAGCAGCAGCAGTAGTAGCAGCAGTCCTGACAGTCGTTATCCACCATACGCAATTGAAAAAGAAAACGACGTGGATCACTGCCATCGTCACAATCGACACAAGCAACGGCATCGTACGGACTCAAACCAAAGAGACAAGAGCACGAGTTCATCGCGTGGTAGCTCCTACGGCAGTAGCGGAAACAGCGACGAGTTGTCACTTGCCAGTACGTGTGATGAGAAGATGCGTGTTGATTTGCCATCGGATCGAGAGTTTGTGCCGTTAGAGACGGACAAGGAGAAGGAAAACGTTCGAGATCAAGTGATTTGTATGATCTTTGACTTGCCCGAGTCTACGCAGTTTTACCAAGGTACACACAGGCATTAAATTAACTGCAAGAGTTTCTAGCAAAAGGACGGATGTTGTGGTACAAAAGAGATTGAAACGCGTCGTTTATGTGGAATTTCCTCCTTTTTTGAACATTTATTGTAGACTTTTCGTGTGCCATTGCGTCGACACTGGCTATGCATGGACGCATGTATCCAACGAGTACACACGTATGTTTTTACTCAAATGTGTTCGGTCGCGAGAGAAAGGTCAGAACGCTAGAGAGGGTGGACCTTAAAGAGTACACTCACTCAGGATGCTCTCTTGAGGATAAAGCTCAGTCGTTACACAGCTGTTTCTGGCTCCCGACGTAATGTCGACATAATACTGAGCCTGTTTGTCTCTATATATGTGTTTGTATGTTTGGTGCTAGTGTAGATTTTGATCCCGTACGAGTCCATTTGCGAAATTGAAAAGACAACGACAATGATGTTTCAGCACTCGATCCGCCTCGCGATGTTTGATAAGGACGAGTATACTTTTACTAGTTTCTGGGGTAATAACCGTGATAGCTGTTATGAACTCATCGTGAAGACGCGCAATCGCGTGCTACGCGAATTGCGTCCTACTGCAGCCGACGCGTCGAAATTGCGTCGTCAGGCGCTGTCGAAGTCGTCTATGACATTGAACTCCCAGTCTTCAGTTGCGCCGCCACTACCATTGCAGCCCAATCCTACAGTAGAGAAAGATTGTGAAGAAGAAGAAGAGGAAGTCGATGCTGCTACTGTCCATGATAGCTTTGCGATTATTGCTAACGAAGGCGATAACGATATGGCATTGGAGAATGAAGACGATGATGATCGCACATCTCCTGCTACTTCGCGCCGGCGCAGTATGGTCTCGGATATGGATTCGATCGCACCCAAGGATATCTCGATGATCCAGGTTCTCGAAGAGGTATTTCTTGTGTCGGTAGATACCTTCATGCAGGCATTTTATATGGATAATGCGCCGTTTGGGATGGACATATTCGGCGAACAAACTGGATCGACTGAAATGACCGTAACTCCATGGACGACGTCGTTGGAAGACGAAAAATCGTTCGGTGCGTAAACGATGGTTCACATATCCTGAAATTTGACGCGGTACTGACAATGTGCTGTGGTATGCGATAGGTTCGACACGGTCGCTGCAATTCCGGGTGCCGATCGATGCTCCAATTGGCCCAAAGTCGTCGCAAGTTGACGTGGTAATATTGTTGAAAGGTGTCTTAGTTCATATGTCTGCAGTGATTAACGTGTTGTTGATGTGTTGTTCAAGCTGCAATGCCTGAAAGAAAGTGAAAATGGAGTACGTGTTGTAGAGAGCTCGACCCGACTCGTAGACATTCCGTATGGCGACTATTTCAGTGTGGAAGACCGGTGGACTATTGTGCCACACTCATCCAACCCCAATTCCTGCAAACTGTTCATTGAGTCAAAGGCGCGTGTAAAGAGCCAACAAACTTGTGCTAGCGTGAAGCATACTGATTGTGCTGTTCGTTTTTATTCTAGGTGGTCTTTGGTAAATCGACATTCTGGAAGAAAACCATCGAAGCCCGAGCGATCAGTGACAACCGGGCGAAGTGGAAAAAGTGGGTTGGCATGGCAAAGAAGTTTCTAGACGTGAGAGATCTTAACGATAGCACTAACTGTGCCTTGAAGAGTTTTCCGGCTTCCATCACTTCTACGGAGAAGACGGCACCAGAGAAAATCAATAGAAATGATCATGCATCTGTGGCGAGACGTCGGAGTCGAAGCAAGCCCAGTCACCGTCACAGATGTTCCACTGCCGCAGCTATAGGAGCTCGTACAGCCTCTGTGAAAGTGTTCCCGTGGGTTCTGGTTTTGATTCTTTTCCTAGTCGTTTTGCGCCTGCAAATGACACTGTTGAGTATCGAGCATTACTTGTTAGATAATACCGAGCTCATTGGCGACCTCCAGAAGCAACTTTCCAGGTTCCAGGCGGAAGGCTGTCAGTGACAGCATTGTCAGTTCTATCACTCTTTATACGACTTAAACTTATACCAAATGACACCATCCATTTCATTGACGAACTATACATTGTTGGAACAAGCGTTAAACAACATCACGTGAAAGTTGACACGCTCTTGCAGTCGTTGTAGTAACCAGTTAGCACGTAAATCTGTGTCGCATTGCATCGCACGATGAGTTGACGCTGTATGCTTGTCCCCTGCTCCGTGCCCCTTATCCATTTCCTCCTCCTTGTCTTGTGAACCTTGATGTCGTCGAATAGTAAGAATCTCTCGACGCATGGAGCACAACATGCGCCGTAGCACGCCCAGGTGGGTATGTTGGAACGGGTTGTGCATCACATAAACGTCTGAGGGAAGGTCTGCAGCGAATCTTCTCAACTCGTAAAGCATCGATTCGCGGGATCTCACGTTAATGCTTATCAGGGCAAACGTTGGTCGAATGACGGAATCAATAGAAGCGGGTATTCCAGTACACGTTTGTTCAGACCACGATACCAGATTTGAGCCAGATGAGATGAACAGCAATTGATTTTGGTCTACAGAAATAGCATCATAAAACCAAACCGACCTCAGTGTCAGTACTTCATACTTCGACGTATTGTATACCAGCAAGTGTACATACCGCTCCAACTGCTTTCGACTGTTGTCTGCAACCTTTCACCGATTCCAATCAGGTTTTCAGGATAAATTTTGACAGACGCAATAGCAAGAGCCGACTCGCTTGGATGCCAGGCTTGAGTGGTGTTGGAGATAAAAGCATCCTGAGATGGTCCCCAATGCAGCCATAACATTACCTCTAACGGCTTTCGCTCACGAAGGAATATATAGCTTGTATCAAACTGGAAATCTAGCTGAAATCGGGCTTCCTGTTGTTGCGTTGTCTGGCTTTCGGTCATGCCCCGAGCACGAGAAAATTCAGACGCCACTGAGCTCAAGCACCTCCAGCCCTGAGTAACTGTTTGTCCTCCCTTTGGTGCTGTCAGAAAAACATAACTATCATCAATAGCGAAGTCGGACATGTTCGTTAAGACAACTTCGGCGTGAACAAGTGACGATGACGGCGCGTATTCGAGCAGAGTGAGGCGCTTCAAAGACACTTGCTGCTCCAGCTTAAGGTCATTCAAATCAGATTCTGAATCTTGCTTATTTGGTCCATCCTTTGCATCATTCCGGACAGTAGTCGCCGTGACAATCGTTTCCATTTCTGCACGCCCCTGAGAGCCAAAGTAGGGGATGTCTACCTCTTGAGCTGAACCCCCAAAAGTCTGCAAGAATAAGTGCTTCATACTGGGATTTCTCGCTTTAGCTTGTAGTTTTTGCCATAGTTGTACGATAAGCTGGTTGAGTTGGTGAGCTAGTGCGACCTTGTCGCTCACAATTACTTGCAGGCGTTCCAGCTCCTGCAACCCATTGCTCAGACGTGCAAAAAGAGAACCAGCAAGTTTGCCAAGCTGCACGTGCGAAGCAGCTAAATCATTAGCTGCGCCATCTTCGATCACTTCTAAGTGGTTCACGCTTTTATCACGAGACGAAGCCTTATGAGTGCGTTCAATGTAGCAGAATGGCTCTGCCTTTACATCACCAAATCTGACGTCCTCATTATTGCGAGATCTTTTGCGAAAACGGGAGCCATCCTTCATATTTTTTTCTTCATGTCGTCGAAGTCGATGGCACGATAGCTTTATTTCAGGCGATGATGACTTTTGTGAGATCAGAACACTGCGCTTCACAAGCTGTTTGTGATCCAGGGATTTATAGGCGTCCGATCTATTCCCAACTGTGTACGTGCTATCATAGATGCCAAAAATCCCTCGAACATCATTGAGAAGGAGGACTTGAGTAAAGCTGTCAGACGCGTGCGTACCAGCAAAATTTACGTTATGCGCGTGACCTACATGTTTAAACGCTACGAAAATCGTACCAAGCCGGAGTCAGTTCAAGAAACTGCTTTTGCAATACGCACAAACCAATACCAAGAAACTTACATAATAGAAGTCCCATGGACACGTGCTGCACATTACTGGAAAATTCCAACATGAAAAACGAACGGTTATCGTCGTCGCAGCGCACACAAAGCACATGTCTTTGGTCCGAGCGGTTTTCACATAAGGACCATCTGACACAAAAAGCACGAGTAAGTTACTCCAACTATAACATACAAACATACAGTGTCGTACATCTCAGCTGGTCGAGTAGGCAGCACGTAGGAGGCGAGTAGAATCCCGTTTGCATGGACATATATCGTGTTACTGGTAGTACCAGTGACCACCAGCGTCGACACACCTATACTCGTCTGTGTAGATTGAGGACTTGACCCCAGATTCCAAGACACGAAGGCATCTGTATCGCAGAAAGGTGATGCTATAAAATCTCTTTGACTCTTCTCGAGAATGAAGCAACAACAAGTTATCTGTTCAAGCTTCGACATTGGCCCAATGCACCTTGCAGCCGAGGAAAATACAGGTAGGTAGTGACAATGCAAAGCTTTTTTGTTGCTAACGATATTGCCCCTGTCATCTTCAAGATCCACGACACTCCAAGTGTGTCTTTTTGTGATCCACGATTGACAAACGTTAGCTCGCAGCAAAAGTGGGAAACAATTCATCAATGATAATATACCTGTCGGATGATGACGACGACGACCGTAGCATATGAATCAGAATATGCGGCCAGGTACTATACAACTCCGACACGTAAGTACAAGATATCACTTCCAAATTCGTCTCCGGAGCGTCGTCTTTCATGTCATGTGCCACATCCAGCGCTTGACGAAATTCTAACGACTCGTTACCCTGCATTGCTCTTTGAAGCTTTAACAACGTCATATGTTGCGATCGACGCTCAAATAACACCACATGAGGTCCGTCCATTACAAAAACCTGCAGCATATTGGCATTTCTCTCATCAACGGAAACATCTTCATCTCTAAATCGTGTTGGAACTTCCAACATCTTTAAAAAGCGCAATTGCATTTCGTCAGTACCCTCTTGTTGATACAAAATACACACAACGAGCCAGCTCGTAGGACTCAGTACAGCATTATTGTTTGCAACAACTGCATCATAATTCTCTATCGATCGCCGACGTTTGTCACTTGCTGACAAACTTTGTCTTGCCTCTTGCATAGAGAGAAATACCAACACTGGATAACGACTACAAGAGACAAGAAGAATAACAGCATAAAAACAGTCTTAGCAAATGTAACCCACTTGAATCTTTATATACAAAACTATGGCGAGAAATGTACATTGCCAAGATCGAGTCTTCCACTTCGTTGGCAGCGACGAGACGAGCGTCGACTGGAAGCCCAGTCGTTTCATTATTGCTATTGACAGTACAAAGATGGAGCGAAATTGTTTTGCTTTTATTGTCGACGTCCATGCGCTGAATCTGCAGCTTTCCCCGCTCCCAGCGCACGAGAAAAAGCGCATCATTCCACGCTAGTAACTTGCTCATAATCAAGAGTGATGGTCAGTGTAACTACATGTATATTGTTGCAATGTAACCTAATAACCGAGGGTTACGCCGGTGGTATATTTTTTATAATTGAAGTACCCCATGAGCACAATTTTGAAGCGACTGTGTTTTACTGTACTGAACATACAGTATTAGAGAAGAACAGTAGAGAGGAAGATTACAAAACTCTCGTGCTACCATCGAGTTTGTATCTTTGCATGATTCAATCCGGAGCTGACGCCATCCGAAGATCATTCCTCACCATAGTCTACTACATATTATTTTCGTTCATGCACGATCCTGATACTACTGTACCCATCCACCAAGATGGCGTCTGCTAGCAGCAACCCAATGCTGCGCGTACTTTAAGTCGGTAACTCAGTAGACGCTCAAGCGTCGTGCCAACACTGATTAAAGTGACTGACAATTGTTGGAATAGAGAGAATTGCTTCATTCTCTAAATGGCTAGGAACATTTGTAGGGTTTTTGTAAGAGCTACCGTAGCTTCATCATTTTCCTTTGTCTGTGCCGAACACAACGTCTAATCATCATCACTAGAAGCACTAGGCAAGCAATCTGTCCAATTTCACAGCGAAATTCTTGTCCGTCAAATTTCGGTTCTTCTAATCGCCTTTCCCAATTGGCAACGACGGAGGCATGACAATGCGCAGCGCTGAGGTTAACGCCATGGCAAGTGTTGGGAAAAAACAATGGTTTCATGCCACATCAAGTCTGCACGGGGTAATAGGGTGGCGACGAGACAATTAAGTTGCGGCAGTGAGGTCCCCATCGTTCATTGTTTTGGGAATGCGCTTGCGCCGCAGCGCTCTGAAATAAACTAATTTGCACACTAGACTGGGCAGAAAATTACCAGTCGATTAACCCAAAACTTTCTGGGCCAGTCGGCAAGCTCATAGCATACCGGAGTACCTACTAAACATTTAACGGACCGAGTTCAGAATGACGTGGGCGAAGCCGAACGCGTCTGGACGCAAATTTGGCGCGTCCTAGCGACAATATGTCAAACACGACTCTAAGTAGATTTCCTTCCCAGCAGCATCGCCAGTTCGGACATCGTACCTTTGTCAGCTCCGTGCAACGCACTGGTGTAGACTCGCGAGGGTCCAGCAAATTGAAAAGCGTCACTCAGCTCAAGGACGAGGGCATCATAGATTATGTAAGCGAGGGCACTTCCTCTGGTAGCAATGATCTATCTATGCTCCTCATTCACGGATTAAAGAGTCTCGTGGGCTATGGTAACGCCGACTTCGTTTCGTCTTTCATACCAGCAAGAAAAACAATCTAAGCTGGACTATCACTCTGACCAGAGCTCTTGCTGTGGTAGCGAAGATTCTTTCTCCTGTAACGGGGTGAGCCCATTAGTAACGGGGTGAGCCCATTTGTAACGGGGTGAGCCCATTAGTAACGGGGTGAGCCCATTTGTAACGGGGTGAGCCCGTTACATAATATTGACACTTATATGAAGTGTCAAAAAAAATATTATTATAACTAATAATATTTGACAATATTATTTTTTCTTATAATATTGTTCCTAGATCTGCTTAAAGTTGGAGATGCCCTCTCATTGGTTGATATGGGCCATCATATCAACCAACGCGCTGACCAATGACCGATGGACGCGCGCAATGAGTGGAGGGCAAGTTGTCAACATACATAGTTGTAGTTTGATATAGTTAACATAGGTTATAACAGATTAGTTTTATTAGACAGTTAACTATATTAAATACAGTTTTCTTTTTCTTCTCAACTAAGCGTGTGCTTAGTTGTTTGACTTCCTCTGCTCACATGTACGTGAGGTATTGAGGCACCTGCTTTCACTGTCATCAGTGAAGGAAGACTATACTGTAATAAGTATAGTCGGAGGGTGCCCCATTACACCTGGTAGCATTTCGTGGTCCGTTCAGCGACCACCGCACCATCCGCTATGGAATCAGCGGGTGATGATTTCCGCTATTTGAGTAACCTCGAATGCAATGCGGTTCAGCGTATGGCTGAAACCATCGGCAACCCTGTCGTTGGTGCCATGTTGCTCTCTCTTAGCGGAGACGACCAACATGCAACCATCGCCAAGTTCATACAACATGAACTTGACGAAGTTGTAAAGAAACTCACCTTGCTACAGGAGCAAGGTTCTCAACAGGTTGACCTGTTGAGAGAACAATGCGCTCAACAAGCTGACTTGTTGATGCAGCAGGGTGCTCAACATTCTGAACTGTTGAGACAACAGCAGGCTAGTGCTGTTGCTGCCGGTTAACGTATACACGTCGACCCGAGTCCTTGAAGATTGATGTCTCCAAGTACAAGGCAGTCGAAAGCGACTCCTTGCTAAGATGGTTCGTCGAGCTCGACGATGCCATTGAGGCTCGTCGCATCAATGATGATGCGATGAAGGTCAAGTTCGCCATGTCGAACTTGGCAGGACGTGCCAAAGCTTGGGCCTTAGGGCTCAAACTGCACGACCCATACGTTTTCCCAACGTATGACGTCTTCAAGGCGCGGCTCAAACACACGTTTGAACCGCCTCGCGCCGAATTCAGGGCTCGAGCTGAGCTCCTGGATTTGAAACAGGGTAAGCGTGGTATACACGCTTACGCCCAACACGTACGATACCTCGTCAGTTGTATCGTGCTGAACCCAATCGATGAACACAAGCAGGTTACTGTGTTCATCAAGGATCTGACAGATGGTCCTGTCAAGACCCACCTGTTCCGCTTGAAACTAGAATCGCTGAATCAAGTGATCTCTGCAGCGGAACAGGAGGACTTTAGCCTAAAAATGCTCACGTCCACTCGGGGTCCTATCGTCCACCGAGACGACAGGAGGGCGGAGGTCCAGAACCAATGGACCTCTCCTATGTAGAGAGCGAGCGACCTCGCTCTCCAGGATACAAGCGATTGCAAAAGTGCAATCGCTGTCAGAAGTTGGGCCACTACTCTTATGAGTGTAGTGCTCCACACCCAGTGTCTCGTAACACTGGGAGTGACGATCGTCCGTCTGCCAAGAAGGGCCAGAGACGTGGGTCCCACGTTGCTGCAAAATCGCAACAACGTGGTGGACCATCAAAAAACGGTCGGGGTCAGTAGGGGCGGAGCGCCCTACTGATCCAGCAACGTCAAGAGAGTTCGCGGGAATCTTGACGAAGGTTGCTCCCAACACACAGTCACTGTGTGTTGCCGCTCCCAATGATGAGGTATCCCTCATCACATTGAAGATCGAAGTGACACAATCAACTAGGGCGCGAAGTGACATGGAGAACATGTCACTTCGCGCCCTAGTTGATTGTGGGGCTTCGAACAACTTTGTTCGACGCCAATCGTTAGATGATCGTAGGCTCAAATATGTTGAGCGCGAGACCCCTCCAACGGGATGACGGTGCGCCTTGCGACTGGCGCATCCGTAACAGTAAAGAAACGTGTAGTGGGAATTCACTACACGCTTGAAGGCAAAAAGTACGGTGATGATTTCATCGTACTTGACATGGATGACAAATTTGATGTCATCCTAGGATTACCATGGCTCAGAAGGTACGAGCCATGGGTCAGCTGGCAGCATCGAACCGTGAAGATGCCTGCCACTTGTTCATCAGATGGCCATCTGTTTGAACGTCTTGGAGCGTTCACAAGCGTGTGATAGCACTACGAGTGAGTGCGATGGCCTCATTTGTGGTTCGGTCGTTCGTACGACTGCAAAAGTACTCAGCGTGACAGACAGTCACACTGTGAGCAAGCTGCCGGCGGCTGTGCACAAGCACAGGCAGCGCCGAAGGTTCACCACTCGAATAAGTCGAGTGGACCGGGACAGGAATGCTAGCCTAGAGGGCAGCATTCACCGAAGAGTAAACCGGTTGCCCAGAAGCGGCAACACGGTAATCCTAGATCAACTGGAGAGTTGATCGTAGAGGATCTCGCTGTGTTTGCGCCACCACAGCTAGAGGAAGTCGATGGAACAAGTTCCATCGAGCCTGCGGGTATAAGTCCATAGGAATTAAAGCACTGAGAGAATAAGTCCCCAGGAAGTAACCGAGACGTTGAACGTCTTGGCTGATGACGGATCAAACGTAGGCGCTTATACGCTTGATCTGATCGCGCCTCCGAAGTTAACTTCGGAGATATCTCAGTTGCCTACGCTAGAACATAAAACGTTCTTGCGTGATCTTAGTAGTGTCAAAGTCAAGCAGATCTGTGTGCTCGTCGCAAAGGACGAGTACATGACTGACATTCGGTCAGCAACAGTTTTTGCCGAGAACGAACGGGTTCTTAGCAGCTCATCAATGGAAGAAAGTGTCCTTGGAGGAAAGACTCGGATTGAGCGATATACATCGCAATCCTGGGAGTCGCTGAAGTCAAATCCTTTGTATAAGGATTTGGTCGAATTCAGGATGTATTTCCTGAATCCGTTCCGTGCGAGTTGCCTAAGAATAAAGGTACTCGACACGAGATCGACCTTGTTCCTGGCACAAAATATTGTGTCATGACGCAGTGACCACTGCCTCGGGAACAGGTCGAGGCGATCGACAAGTTCTTTGCCGATCGCCTAGCAGCGGGCCATGTGAGGGAGTCAACTTCACCTCACAGCTCTCCGACCTTCTGTGTGCGCAAGGCCACAGGAGGGTGGCGGATAGTACACGCGTTCAACAAGTTCAACGCTGCAACGATACCGGCGCAAACGCCGATACCGAGAAAGGACGCAATCATAGATGGTATGTCTAAAAGTACCTTCTTTTCGTCCATGGATCTGATGGATGGTTTCTATCAGATCCTAATACGTGAACGGGACATCCCGTACACAGCAGTGAGCACTCCCAGTGGTATGCTCTGCGAATGTTTGATGATGCCGCAAGGGCTTAGTAATGCACCAGCCACATTCAATAAATGTTTTACATCTATTATGACCGGTACACAAATTTGGACCGAGTTACTTCGGTGATGTGTTCGTCCATAGTCGGGCTATGGACGGGAAAACAGACGTGGAAGTCCATA